TCTCTTGCAGTTGGCACTTGGACCAAACGCTGGCAGTGATACCAAAGCCAACTTCGTTACTTACCAAACAGCCTTCAAGTGTATTGCAATACGCATCGCTCTGTGAGTCAGGCATAGATGAGCTGGAGATGGCTTTGTGGGAATCGTTGACAAAGTGAGCTCGATCTTGTGTTCATGCTCCGGGACGGCGTTAAGTGGAGAGCCGCACTTTTCCGCTCAATTCAACAAAATGCCGCATTTCCTGCACCTACGTACGTGCTTGGCCAGTGAGACATGAGACACTAGAAGTGCGAGAGAGCGAGCGAGGGCAGGGGCGTAAAGGCGCAAGTGAGATGGAGCATATGCGGAGATTATGTATTCAGCAATGCATGAAGTTTAAAAAGTTTCAAGCGCATAAGCCACAATGGCCACGTCTCTCCAGGCTTGACATTTATTATCTGCCGGTTTGGCCCAAAATGAAGTTGTGGCCGCTCTCGTCTTCCAAACGTTGCCACATACGCACACACACACACACACACACAAAAACATACATACATACGGGCCGTGAGGCAACTAGAATGAGAGCAGCCAAGTAGGGGATCTGACATCCCGTCGCTGCTCGTTTGTGGTCGACGTCGACGGCAACGGCAACGGCAACGGCATTTGCATGCCCGGCTGGCCATTTAACGTGTCCGTGTCCTTGTCCGTGTCCGTGTCTGTGTCGTGCAGTCGGAGGTGTAGAGGCGTGGTCGTAGCGCTTTGATTTCGTTAGGCGAAGCCCGACGACCCTCTCTCCTCCAGCCGCTCACATGCCCTGCCATGCCTATTACAGAGTCCGCACACGTTTTTCGTAAATGTGCATTTTTCGCTAAATGTTTTGTAAATGTTTCCGCTCCCAACTTTATAATTAGTTGGCATGAGGGCGGCGCTAAAGAAAACGCAGCGTCGCATCACGCGACGCAACGCGATGCGACGCATTGCAGCTCCGCAGGAAGCGGAAAAACGAGAAAAAGCACTGCGGAAATTATGTAAGTTAAGCGGCTGCCACACAGTCCGCACTGTCGTGGGGTCCACAGCACGCAGCAAATGCCATCGCAATGTAGCAGCATCATGCCAGTTGGCCTGCCCGCTCTGATTACAAGCACAATGCATTTCCAGCTCCATGGCCAGATTCCAGCTAGCAGCTCCACTGCCAACTGCATCGCCAGCTCCATCGCCCAGTCCATCTGCAGCTCCAGCTTTCTGATAAGTGCATGGATAGGATACGACCAGACGTGACTAATATGACAGCGCCACAAAACTGCAATCTCTATTAGTTTCTAATGCTCAGCAGACTTGATGTATGCCAATCCGAGGAGAATTACTATGGAACAGATTTCGCAACTATATAGAATGGAATATACGAATAAACGAAGCGACGGAGCACAGCCATAGATGATGAGTATTTGCAGTCTATGGCTGCCTCGAGCTGTGTGGCATGCGGCTCCTTAGAGGCAATTTAATTAGATTTTCAGCGAAGATGTGCGCCGCGTGATTGAGGATTGAGCATTGAATCGCAGCCGAGCGAGTCACGCAACACTCGCAGCAACGCCTCCAATTGGAGTTTTAATTAAAAGCAACTACGCAAGTCGCTGCCTCGCATCAGGCCAATAGATGCACCCACGCATTTGTGGCACCTGCTGCCGTCGTTGCCACTACTCCTGCGGCTGCTGCTGCGACTTATTAAAAGCTGTTGGCGTTATGCTAATTAGGACGCACAACCAACAAATTGTCGCCGCAAATCAATCAGCCCACGCTCCCCACCAGCTCCGCTGCTTTGCAACGGTCTACAACAAAAAAAAAGCCAATAAAATGGTAGGAGCATGGCCCGAATTGCCAGTCCGACTGCCAGCACAGGCTGATTAACGTAATCCCAATTTCAGTCCCCAATTTCAATGCTAATTTTTCAGCTGTCGCAATAAACAGCAACACAAGAAACCTTTACGAAATTATCAACAAAGCGCTCCACACAACTTTCTTCTACTCTCGGAGCTACCACAGAATATTAGCTATATTGTTTCAGCGATATGAAGCTGCTCTTACAGCCTTCAGATAGAGCCACAAGAGAGGCCAACATGTGCATCAGTTCAGCCTAATCCTGGCCCAGGAAGCACTGCTACCAAGTGAAGCTGCCAATCAACTTTCACACAGTGATCCGGCAATGTCCGTCTTTCTTTTGCTATCCGCCTGAAGCCAAGCTGGAGATGGCGCAATTAGTCAACTTAAACACGTGTCTAATTGGACTGATGGGAGCTCTATGATTGAAAAGCTTCTGATCTTATCTCTCTCTCTCACTCTCTTACCTCTCTCTTTTTTTTCTCTCCGCGTCTCTTCCCATATCTGTCTATCTCTGGCTCCCTCTCCTCTATCTCTATCTGACTCTCCTACTCTGACTCCCTTTCTGTTTATCTCTCTCTCTCCCTTTCCTCTATCTCTGGCTCCCTCTGCTCTATCTCTATCTGACACCCTTTCTCTGAATCTCTCTCTCCCTTTCCTCTATCTCTGGCTTCCTCTCCTCTATCTCTATCTGACTCTCCTACTCTGACTCCCTTTCTGTTTATCTCTCTCTCTCCCTTTCCTCTATCTCTGGCTCCCTCTCCTCTATCTCTATCTGACACCCTTTCTCTGAATCTCTCTCTCCCTCTCCTCTATCTCTGTCTCCCTCTCCTCTATCTCTATCTGACACCCTTTCTCTGAATCTCTCTCTCCCTTTCCTCTATCTCTGGCTTCCTCTCCTCTATCTCTATCTGACTCTCCTACTCTGACTCTCTTTCTGTTTATCTCTCTCTCTCCTTTTCCTATATCTCTGGCTCCCTCTTCTCTATATCTATCTGACTCTTGCTTGCGGGGTAGAGGGCAAGGAGAGTGAGAGTGAGAGAGAAACTCCTACTCTCCTTCCTCTCTACCCCTCCTCATTCCTGTTCTTACTCTTCTTTATAAAGTATATACAAATATAAAAGCTAAGTTATGTATTGATCTAACTCAATTTAAATTATAAAATTTCCAAATAAATAAGCTGAAAAGTTTATGCAAAGCTTGAGCGAATTCTGCAAATGTTGTGCCCTGAGACAAAAGCAAAAAGTTTAAGCTCACTAAGCTCTCTAAATAAATTTCGCTAGTTTAACAACAGGGGCAGCTAAAGCAACAGCAACAGCAGCAGCCCCCAAGCGCGACGTTGAATGCGCCGAAGTGTGCTGATGAGGAAACGGAAATGGAACATGAACGGAAACGCCGGCCAGAGGCGCAGCAGCTGTCCGAGCTGCTAGCAGCTCGACTTGCACTTGAAGCCGAAAGGTGTTTATTGAAACGTTAACCGCTGCCGGCTGAAGGTCAAAACGATTGCCGCATGAACGCTCCACTTGTCGGCCAACTAACAGCAGTGGGCGTGCCACTGTTGTTAGCTTAAAAGCCTGCAGCCGACGCCAATACACCAGTTAAAGAGGAAACTAGCTAAAATCAAAACTCGTCAGGCAACAGTCAACGGGCAGCAACTGGCACCAGCTTCAGCGTGTATCTGTGTGTGTGTATCTCTTGGGCAACGAAATGGATGTGCGACATTATTAGCTATTTCAGCGGGCAGGCAGCAAGCAGACAACTGAAAAAGCTGCCACTGAAACAGACAAGTAAACGAGTTACCAGCGCTGGCAAAGCGGCTGCTGCTGCTGCTGCCGCTGCCATTGCCATTGCTGGCAGAGAGAGCAGCCATACAGAACACGCGCAGCAGCAACATTGACAACGCCGTGTTTATATGCAACATTGACAACATGCCGTGACGCAAGTGATGCCAAACTGCAGCAGCAGCAACAGCAGCTCCTCGTTACCATCAGCATTCCCATTACCAATATTGCTGCTGCTGCTGCTGCTGCTCCTACTCCTAGGCAAGTCATAAAAGTTTTCTGGCTTGTAGCGTCGGCATTTTGAAAGTCTGGCATGCAGCTAACTTGAGCAGCCACGTGAGCCAAGCTCAAACTCTAAACTGAAATGCAAAAGCTGCAATACACTGCAAATACTGCAATTGTGCAGACGCCATTATATGAGCCATCTATTGTACCTTCACAACGGCAGATTGAACAGAACTTGGCCTTCGAAAAGTTGCCGAAGTTATGAAATCGAACTGAGAACTGGAAAAATTGAGTCGTCTGCATTGAATGCTGATGGATTCTAACTATTTCGAGTCGACTGTAATGCTGCTTCCAGCAGCTCACTTAGCCACTGAATTATAATAAACAAATAAATACGAGCGACTTTGATATCACATATCATCTGATTGGAGCGCATTTCCAGCAGTTGCCAGTTCGAGAACTCACGGCATCTGCAGAGCAGTAGCATCTCAGTCTCTGGCTGTTTTGCATAAAACGAACGTAGCTGCTGCTGCAGCATCTTTGTCAGTCTGGCTGCTTGAATGCGTGTTTGCTGTGTGTGTATGTGTGTGTGTGTGTGTGTGTGTGTGTGTGTGTGTGTGTGTGTGTGTGTGTGTGTGTGTGTGTGTGTGTGTGTGTGTGTGTGTGTGTGTGTGTGTGTGTGTGTGTGTGTGTGTGTGTGTGTGTGTGTGTGTGTGTGTGTGTGTGTGTGTGTGTGTGTGTGTGTGTGTGTGTGTGTGTGTGTGTGTGTGTGTGTGTGTGTGTGTTGGCTGTGACTATATTACATTTTATGTCAAATGCGCACGCTTTCAATATTGACAGGCGCCGCAGCACTGGCAGCAGCACGGGACACGGAACACGGGACACGGGAAACGGATGGGGACGTCACCTGTTCCGGCTGCGGGGAACTGCGTCGGCATGTCAAGCTAATGTTAACTTATTTTCGTATTTTGGCATACCTAGCTGCATGCCGGAAGTGCCACACCCATCGCACTGGAGCCTTCTTGCTGTAGTCAAACTTATTTTCAAATAAAGAGCACAATTTTCGAAGACAAGGCAGCTGTGCCACCTGTCCGCCTACCGCTGCTGCAGTAGAGCATTCTTTTATTGAACAGCTGAAGCTTAGAAGGGCTCACCAATGGGCTTGATGGTCAGCTGATGCACCTGCACATGGGGCGGCGTGCCCAGGGCGTACATAATGCCAGCCGCAATGTCCTCCGGCTGCAGCATGGGCAGAATATTGTAGTCGCCGGGCAAGATCTCCGTGCGTGTTACGCCCGGACTGATGCTCTGCAAGCTCAAAATACATAATTGAAATGGCAATGGACAGTGGCCAGTTGGCAGACATGAATGAATACGCACCGTTACTTTAATCTGCGTCTTGAGGCCGCTCATTTCCTGGCGCATAATCTCCAGCAGGGCACTGATGCCGTGCTTCGTCACTGGATACATGTTGAGGGTCTGCAGCGCCTCGCTGGGGGGATGGATTATATGATGGCCGGTGAGGCTGTTCAGGAGCACCACATGGCCGGCCACATCGCGCTGCTGCATGGAGCGAAAGGCGCGCTGGGTACAGTAGACCACGCCCATCAAATTCACCTGCAGCACATGCTGCAGCTGATCCAGCGGCATGGTCAGCAGCTGCCCGGAGTAGAGCATGCCAGCATTGTTCACCAGTATATCGATGCCACCCAGCTCGGCCTCGATCCAATCGAAGGCCTCCGCCACGGACGCCTCATCGCCCACATCGCACTTGACCGCGTGCAGATGCGACTGCAGTTCGTCGGGCAGCTCCTCCTTGAGCGCCTCGACGCGCTCAACGCGACGCGCCAACCCAACCACAATGACTCCGGCACGCACCAGCTCCTTGGCCAAAGCAGCTCCTATGCCCGAACTGGCCCCAGTCACAACAGCCACACGATTCTGCCAGCGTTCCATGCTTCACACTCGGATTGAATGAGAATCGGTTTTGATATCAAATTCCTTACTTTGTGCGCCGTTGAACGGAGCTATTTGGCAACTGAGTCTTGTCCGCTTTGAAGCCTTTATATATTGGGCTTGCCAAGCCGACCGCACACTCAGCCGCCCCGCCCAAGTTCGCAATTGAATTTTAAATAGTTGTTGCTGCTGCCTCACGCCCATTTTCGCAGCTGAATAATTAACTGGCCGTCGCTCAATTCGCCAGTTTGTCACTTGTTCAGCGCAACAATTACGCATTTTGACCACTTCATAAATATTTTGTGACACTTTTTTAAATTAGAACCTCCACAGAGACCGGGCGCCAGCGCCAGCGCACGTGCCTCAAGCTTTGACTTCTGTATGCCTAGCACAAATACTGAATTCTATCAGCTCCATATATCATAAGCTATATGTTCCATGATCCATGAAATCTATAGCTAAAACATCTTGACAAAGCTGGGGAAGGCTCTTTATAGCTGACAAATTGAACTCTTCAGAGCTGAGGTTGTAATTCTTCAAATATATTTTATAAGCTCATAAAAATGTTATTCATTTGGCAATTTCAATTGCATTAAAACGGTTCACCCATTGGCTTGATGGTCAGCTCGTGCACCTGGACATGTGGCGGCGTGGCCAGGGCATACATGATGGCATTGGCCACATCCTCGGGCTGCAGCATGGGCAGTCGCTTGTAGGCCTGTGGCACCATATCCGTATCCACGAGTCCTGGGCTAATGCTCTATGATTTGATGAAGACTTAGGCAAAATCCAGAAGTTCTTTTAAGAAGTCACAGCGCTTGCTACTCACCGTGACCTTTATGTGTGTCTTGAGGTCGCGAAACTCCTGGCGGAACAGCTCGGTCATGGCGGTCAGGGCGTGCTTTGTGGCCGGATACATGTTTAGCTCCTGCAGGCTGCCGGGCAGCGGATTGAACAGATAGTGCCCCACAATGCTGTTGATGAGCACCACATGGCCAGGCGCCTTGCGTTTTCGCAGCGATTGAAATGTGCGCTGCGTGCAGTAGACGACGCCCATGACGTTGGTTTGCAGCACCTGCTGAACGGTGTCCAGTGGCATGGTCACCAGCTGGCCACCGGCTAGCTTGCCGGCGTTATTGACCAGGATGTCCGCACCGCCCAGCTCGGCCTCGATCCAATTGAAGGCGGCCTCAACTGACTCCAAGCTCGTCACGTCGCACTGCCGGATATGCAGCCGAGAGCGCTCAGCGTCGGGCAGCTGTTCGAGCAGCTGCTCCAGCCGTTCCAGACGCCGAGCCAGTGCCACCACGACGATGCCCGCAGCAACTAGCTGCCTGCTAAGGACAGCTCCAATGCCCGAGCTGGCACCAGTCACCACAGCTATACGATTCTGCCAACGTTCCATGCCAAGGGCTGTCATCTGAATGTGGCTTCACTTGTTCGCTTATCCAAACGAAACCTCAGCATTCACAGATCACCGCCAGCCACTGGCGTCGCCTGCACCCACGCGACGCACAGCTGTCCCCCACTGTGACGCCCCTGCCACAAATGCATCGAAGTGCTATTTCGTAGCGCTCTCGGATTACCAGCAGCTGTAACATTTACGTAAGAAATCAGCTTTGCGAGCAGATCAAGCGTGAAGTCTAGACCGCAGACTATGCGAGTTGCTGCCGTCAGCTAGTGAAATCAACTGAATGAAGTCTTAGAATATAAGAGAGCGAGAGAGTGATAGAGCGGGAGAAAGAGTGAGATATAGAAGAAGAGGGAGAGTAAGAGGACGAAAGAGAAGAGCGAGATAGCGATATAAAGAAATAGAGAGGCAAAAGAAGAGAGACACAGAAGAGAGAGAGAAGAGGCACAAAGAGAAAGAGGTAGAGAAAATGAAAGAGAAAGAAAAAAAGAGAGATGAAAGAAGATAAAGAGAGAGAGAAAGAAACAGATAGAGAGAGAGAAAGAAATAGATGACAAGGCTGAGAGTGGGATAGAGAAGGAGAGAAATAAACAGAGAGACAGAGAAAGAGAGAGAGAGAGAAAAAGATGGGAGAAAGAGTGTGAGAGATAAGCGTGAGATAGAGAGAAAGCAAGATAGAGCGGCAAAGGAAGAAAGAGAAACACAAGGAGATAAAGAGAGAGGCGTGGAAAGAGAAAGAGATGATGACACTGAGAGTGATGCAGAGAAGGAGAGAAAGTAAGTTAGACGTGAGGAAATAGAAAGAAAATTAAAGACTGAAAGAGAAGTAGAGTAAGAGTCAAAGAGAAAAACAACTTGCCGTTAGCCAACACAGCTTTTTGCTGTTAGCCAACACTGATTTCCAATATTCATGAAACTCCCAAGAAGTGTTATTGAATTAGCCCTAAGTTTACTCAATGTAAAAGTAAAACACAGTCTTAGCCAGCACTGCTCTCTTGTAATGTTCAGTGTTGAACAACACTAACCGAAAGTCGGTTGGACTCGCAATCATTGGCAGTTGCAGTTGAGCCCTCAAATATTTAACACTTGGGAAAGTATCATTATTTATTTTTATATGCGACGATTAGTTAGATAGAAACCCAAATTCAATATTTAGTATTTATGAATAGTTCATTGATTCACGCAGTTCGTACGTGCAAACAAGTGGAAGTGGGAGCTGGGGCAAAGTCAATGCAAGCCCCAATGGAGCTCATATATCTTTAATAGGCAAATCCAGAAACTGCCACGACAGCCTGTCGGCTGTTTTGGGGGCCAAGCAGATGGTCGATTTGCAGGTCGATTTGTATTTAATAGCTTAATGGCAGTTCCATAAACAGGGACTACGTGTACCGGGCGCGAGCTACATATGTATATGCGGAGCATGGGCAAGAGGGTCGCGTGTAAGGTGCGTGGACCAAGTTTGTCACAGCTGCACACATCATGGGAAATAAGAAATAAAACAAAGCAAAAACAGTGAAAGGCGAACGGAAAACGCAGAGCAAATGACAAAGAAACAAAAACAAAAGCTGAACAGCTGGAGAAAAGTTTTCCTTTGAAATATAAATAAAAATCAATTTGAGGCGCATTTGACAGCGCAGCGAAACTCAAATAAGAATGCCGTAGACTCAACGTAGAACGCCTTCAATCAAATGCCGGCAATAGTTAGCTAATGTTGAGGGCACACTCAAGCAGCCCCTATAGAGGCACCCCTTCTTCTTCTTCCTCTTCATGCTGAAGCTGGAGCACACGTGTTATTTGCACACGTGTTTATGGAAATTGGGAAACGTATTTCAAGTTGAGCGTCAGCTCAAAGCTCAGTTTGTTTACTCAGAAAAACGAAAGAAAAATGTGCATGAAAATTTCACTGATTACGTATTTGAAGAGAGAGAGAGAGAGCAAGGGAGAGGCCAATGAGTGAAGTGCCCGCCTGTCAAGTGGCCCAGCCAAAGCGGAGGCATCCCGTGCGCCGGCAAAAGTTGAGGCAAACACAGCTCTATTAGGCGCATCAAGCGCACGGCCAGACTAACCCTCCTCTACCTACCCTACCCACCCCCCCACACCTGCACCGATGTCTGCAAGGCTTCATCCACATATCATAAGTTATGCTTACTTAGCCGCCACTGGGCATAGTTCAATATATGTATACGAGCTTCTATGCGCATTTGCAGTTACATTTGCACATGCAAATTGGCAAAGCCTGTTTACCCATCATATTTTATTCGGGTATGCATAACACGGTCAGACTATTTGCAAAAATGAACTGACCAGATGCTAGCTGCCTAGATGCTACCTTCTGTAGGTCGAACGAATCAGACGCTTTCCATAGATATATTTCCTTGCTTACAATTCATTTTGATGAGCCCCAGAGTGCAGGCGGCTGTACTAATGTGGTGTTGGCCCATTATTGGAAGTGGCTTTATAACATTTATATATATGTGTGTAAAGCATTACGATGTCTTAAAGCTGGCTTGAGGCTCAAGCTTCGTGCTCATTGTCTATTAGCACAAGCCAACGAAATGTGTTGAAGAATCCGTCCGGGAAAACCTATTCCTGCTGGCCTGTATAACTGACACCTTTCTGTAATACATAGAAACACTATCTCCACTTTTCAGGCAATACAGATCAAATCAGAAGCGAACTCTAACATAGTCCTATTTGTTCTATAATCCTAGCGAGTTTCTAGTATTCAGGTTCAGGCTCAACTTTTTGACTGACCAACACCTCGAGCCGGCTCCGATTTATGGCATTTAAAGCGAGGTGAAGGCCAAGCAGTTGATTGGAGGCAGCTGGAACAGCTGTTACTGCTGGCTATAATTCAAATTTGCAGTTTTTTATGCTAATTCGTTTGATATTGCACAGAAGATGCTGTTCAGACGACAACGAAGACCCTTTTAGCTGTTCACGAAAGAATATGCTACAAATTATGCAGCCCTGCACATGTGTGTGTGTGTGTGTGTGTCTCTGTGTGAACATGTGCTGGCAGGAACAGCAACTGTAAAGGATACAAGCAAATGGTGCAGGAACACGCGCCATTTGCATTTGCCCTGACCCTCGAAGGCGTCAAACGCAGCCTTCCTTATCGGGCCGGGCAAGGGGCATGGAGGCATCGGGAGATTCGGGCATCCGGGCATCGGTGCCTTGTTGCTGCTGCTGCTGCTGTTGTTGGACAGCCATTTTGCAAAATGCGTCGTCCTTTGGTACTGCATAATTATGCGCGCATCTGGCCAAGTCGTAGGGGGTCAAAATCGCAGTCGGTTTGAGGCTCCTTAGGCTATTTGGACGCTTTATGCGTTCAGCCCAGGCTCGTATGGATTTTATGGTCTGACAGGTAATGCGCGCAGAGAGAAGGACCGAGGCATTACCGGTGAGGTGCCCGGAACCACTTTGCGTTGTTATGGCGGCCGTAAAAATCGGCAAATCGCATCATGAGTGCTGCACACATTGTTGCGCATAAACTTTGCTATACCCAGAGGAAAGCCGTCGGACGACTTTGTTGCCGAAAGCGCTTTGGTCCTTTTGCACCTTGCCGGCGCGCATCAGATTTGCAAATGTTGACAATGTCCTGGGCACAGGAAGCCGCATGATTGATTCGAATTTAATGCGCAATGGAATTTATTTCTGTGGCGCGCCAGTAATTAGTTTTAGTCAGTTGCCAACTGAGAAACAGGAATTCGGCTTTGTTGTTTTCGGCCAGTTTATGATAGGCACATCCGTTACCGCTACCAGAAACAACTGCAATTGGCAATGTTTCAAGGCAATAAAAATGTAAATTTCATCTGGATGCTAAGAGCCGACAAAAAGAACTAAACCAAATTCCTGCCGTCGAAACTTAAAGCTGCCTAAAACAGAAACGAAGACTCTAACCAAACTGAGCAACAAATTCAATAATTATGGAATATAACAAATGAAATAATATACTATATATAGACGAACAGCCCTCGGTGTTCGCTGTTCGAGTTGAGTTTTGTGCCTTCATTCATGTGTTGAATGCGCCTTCTGACAAATGTCAGTCAATCGCTGGTTGATGGTTATTGAATATGGAATGTGGATTGGTTGGCTGTGGCCAGATGTCAAAGTCTCATATTTGTAAACATCTTCATTTGGTTGTTGGCGGCAGCTTGTGTCACTTATTCAAGTCATTTATTGATTCAATCGTGACTTGTTTGTTTGTCAGCTCTCTAACCCATGGCACGTTTTTGCAGACAGATGGAAGTGCCCAAAATTGAGCCGAGAGCCCATCAAGAACGACGGCAATAACCAAGTGATGCGTATTCAATATGGGCCTGAGGTATATGCATGAATGGCGCTGGCTTTGGCCAGTGGCTAACTTCGTTATGTCAGGCGCTGGCGAGTTCATAAGATTCCAATATTTGCCGCCCCACTACACTCAACTGGCACGAGCTAGCTGTCAGCTATCTTGACAGCAGGACTTTCATCACGTGCTGCCAATGTGCGACTTGACAGGCCTCAAGACGTTTGTTTACCACAATTTGTTGAAGCCAAGCCCAGAGCTGCCCTAAGTTAAAGGATTATTGTTATATTCCCATAATCAAATCTGTAAGCATTGCTAAGCACTTTATAATTGAATCGAAGAGCTCGACTAAAGTTAACTCAAATAATCAGATAAATTATATACTTATTACTTGATTATTTCGAGTTTCATATCTTCTCAAACTGTTCAACTAGATCTGCAGGCACTCAAGTGGAGCTCCTATATAAATTGAAAACTTAAATCAATCCGAGAGAGAGAGAGCGAAAGAGAGGGGGGAGAGCGAGAGGGAGCCATTTCCTTTTGCGTCTTATATAACAGGACTGACCCATTTAATGTTAGCCGGCCAAGCTGAATGGTCGAGCAGAATATTACTCATACGCCGTGTCACTCAGCAGTTGGTCAACTGACAAATTTGTTGTAGATAATTTGGCAAGTTTGCGTTGGCTTGCAGCGAGTAAACAGACTGAGCATGATTAGCATTCAACACAGACGTCCGCAAACAGTCCACAAAGGCACGTCACAAACTCTCTTCACGACCAACTTTGAAGTTTTTGGCAAGTAGCAGCCGCTCAGATGCTTGGAGCAAAGTTGAGCATCATATATTTCGCAAGGATTTCGAGTGGTAAATCTGTGCACATGTGCACTGATTGCATTAGACGCAGACGGTGGCTAGATTTTGTCGGGCTTAAGGGCCAGCCACATGATAAATGGCTTAAAGCTGCGGCACAGGCTTCGTCTAAGCAAAATCCATATAAATTATATTTACTTACTTGGCTCAGACTTGCATTAAAATTGAAAACAAAGTTATGGAGTAAATTTTTGTAGGTTTCTCAATATTTATTTTCTCATTTGACTAGTTAATTTTCCATCATACGGCATTTCGCGTCGGTACTTGTCATAATAATCATTATATTGTATTTAGTTCATCAGATAATACCATTTATGTATATGTATATTTAATATATAACATGTGAAACTTGTCTCTCAGAGGGCAAGGGGTAAGGTTATATTCTGGGGTTTTGGGACTCGGGTGTATCTACTCGTATGATGATCGCTCATCGATCAATGGGTTCATTTTTCTTGCACATTTTATGGTACATATCAGTATACATACAGCATATATATATATATATACATATGAATTTATATATATATATATATGTGTGTATTTTATATATATGTATAATGAATATATAATTTTAAACGTATTTAAATAAAGTAACATACAATACAATTAATGAGATATTTCTTTTAGCTCATAATTCCTAGGGACTCACAATATACATATAAGGGGGCATTAATTAATATTATAATATATTTGTATATATATATATATATATATTTGTATGTATATTTGCATGATTTAATATGTCCATTGAGAGTCGTTTCGAAATGAAAATTTCTTGTGTCTGTGTCTGGGTTTTGCTTGCATGTGTGAGTTAGTTCTGGAAAAACTAGATTTCGGTGCTGGCTGGGGCAGGAGATGGGCTTCGAGAAGTGAACTGAGGATGGACCACTTGAAGTTCGAGTATGTATATTCGTTAAACACTAAATTAACAAATCTATTTTGCAATTTCAGCTATTAAACTCAATTAATTTGTAATATGCATATGTATGTATATATCCTTTCTATGCATGTATATATATATATTTAATTATGCCTTCTTTTTATACGTGTATTCATGTTGGGGTTCTTTAACAAAGATGCCTTTACTATATGCATTTAGTTAATGTTTCTTTACGCTCTTCTTCGTTAATTTGTTATTTTGTTTTTTTTTTTCTCTTTATTTATTTATATATTTTTGGTTTTTTAGTTATTTATCTATTTTTTGAATATATAATTTAGTTTGATTCACAACAATAACATTTGAATATGCATTTTCAGTTTTGCTTGAAGTTAAATTTGAATTGAATTAATATATAAATATATATATATATATATATATAGATATATATACATATATATGTATATATATATATATATATTCGTAAATTGTAAATGAATCTGTTACATAAAGCTTAGTTTATTTTTGCTCTGATCTTTAAATATATTATGGATAGTTTTACAGTTACAGTTGCAGTTTGTTGTTAGTTGTTTTTTTTTTTTCAATTTGACGAGCTTCAGTTGCCATCCGCCAGTGTTGCAAGCTGGCGCTGGCGCTGCTGCAGCTGTTTTCCAACACTAGCATGATTCCTTGCTGCATTCAAAATGATCCGGTAAATTCAGCTGGTCTTCTAGGCGGTAACATATCTAGTTAAACGTAGCTGTTTCTAAAATATGTATCTTTTTTTTGCAGTGTATTAGAGCTCTGGTATGTGTGTGTGGGTGTGGGTGTGTGTGGATGTGTCTATAGTTGTGTGTGCGTTAGCCCGTCGCCTCCTTGATACTTGCGATCCATATTGATATCCTTTCCAGCTGCGATCGGCCTGACGGATAACTAGATTAGTATTAGACAGTAGACGCTGAACGGGATGCTGGCGTGCCGCTTTGGATGAACATCTTCAACGTAATCTTAAATAATAGTTGAACGATGTTTTGCGAAATTGCTTTTCATTTCTCATGTTTGTCACTTGCGCTTAAAGTATATATATATATATATATTTACGTACGTAACATCTGTGTATAGGTTATAACTATGAACGTTCATTGCTGTTTATATATATGTATGTATGTATGTATGTATGTATAAATATAGTTATATATATGTATATATATGTGTGTGTCTTTTGTTTTAGTTGTATGTTTGTTTAACCATTATTTCTATGCATATGTATGGATTGACTTTACGCACGAAACGATCCGGCATCGCCTCGCTCGTTTGGTCGATAGGTTAACATAATTCATTATTTGAGATGCATATTACATATATAGGTAAGCATAATGGTTAGTAAGGGTTTTGCGGGCGTGTGGGCTTGTGGCTAGAGAACCGAAGACTCAACAGGACTCGAACACAGCCAGCTGTAGCTCAGTGCCATAGATCCTTCCATAGATCATCCATCTACAAATTCTTGATATTTCCTTGGCTGTTCAGCACGCGTTGATCATGTGTTGCTTTTCCTGTATTTATTGTCAACTAATCATTATTACATATATTCGAACTGATCGCAGTGCACTCGATTGATTCAATCGGGTTCACTGGGAGCAGATCAAATTAAATTATCATACGATGAGAACACGAAAGATAACCAAATACCGGATGTTGAGGCTGGAGTGCTGTGGCGTAAAACATCTGCAGATTATCTCACTGGCAACCGAACTACGCTGTAGCTTAATGGGTATTCAGCGATTGCTTAGTTGGAGTCCGAGTCTGAGTCGCTCGGTGGCACCGGGGAGGCAGCCGGCTTAGCGGCGACGGCGGCGGGCTCCTCCCGGATGGGTCGCGTTGCCGCCAGATACGCATTCGTGGACTCGCCGTGCGTGGTCTCGATGCCAACTCTGAAACGCAGAGAGATCCGCAATATGAAGACATTTTCTAGCTGAGATCTGGTTTCACTTCTACTTACTTGTACTCGTGCCGTGCCAGATAGCGGACGTACTTCTCGGGCGGCTCGTCAGCGTCGGAGTCCTGCACGCTCACTGAGCGCACGGTGGTATGCGAGACCTGCGTGGCGGGCATTGTGAATTCCACGAATGCGTATGGCGCCAACTCGCTGGGTATTTGATCGTACGATGTGAGCGCCATGCGACAGACCAGCTGATGCGTAGTATATGCGCCTGCCAAAGAGAGCGACTGAGCATGGAGCGAGCACAAGTGGCTGAATGTCAACTTACCCTGACCCTCCTTGGGTAGACGCGGACAGCGCCAGACAATGGCACGATGATGATGCTCATACTTGGCCTGGCCAGAGGTTACTTCGATAAGTGACTCCTGCAGCGTGTCCACGGCGCCCAATATGCGCTCAATGCCCTTGATCTTGCCTGTGCGTCGATGAGCGGACTTCACCGAGCCGTAGCTGTGAAAAGGAAACTCAGTTAGCAGCTAAAACCGACTGCGACCCTCACAGGAGACGTACCGGAAGTGTTTCTCCACGCGGAACAAATAAATCCAGCACTCGGGTATGGGGAAACGCACTGAGACATCCTCGCATGGAATCTGGCCCAACTTGCGCGAGGTGAAACCTGGGACGAGGATGTCAGCGCGCAGCTCTACCTTGTTGCCGGTAACACACCAGGTGGCCTTCAGCTGCAAAGGAAGTTCACGATTCTTCGGCGGACGCACACGGAAGCGCAGCAGTTCAATGTAGTTGGCATCTGGCGGCTGAAATCTGCAGATTCAGAATAGTTAGCTAACCAAATTATCTCCTGATGCAGCACACATACTTGATAGTGCGTGTGCGTTCGTATTCCTGCTGATTGACAACGCTATGGAACTCAACAGCTTCCAGGCGTATCCACTCCTCGGTGGCCACGGGTATGATGTCGTGCCGTCCAACCACCTCTTTGCCCTGACGCCACATGTCGTTGACGCCCAGCTCAATGGTGGGCATGCCCGTCAGGAAAGCCAGAAAGAATAGGCGCACGCGTGCGATTTGCTTCAGTATTTTGCCCTCGTAGTCCTGCTCGACGGTTATCTCGTCCACGGCAGTCACCTGGACCTCCTCCATTTTGTAGGTGAGCGCGCGTTCACGCAGCGCCGGCAGCTTGAAGAGCGCTTCTTCAATGCACACAGAGAACTGTTTCATGTCCTCGTAGTTCATGGTGCCGATCTTGAAGAGCTGCGATGATTGGGGTGCATGCTCGACGGGCAGGCCGAGTTTCTTGAGATCGCTGCCAAACTCCTTGACGCCCTCGTAGTCGCCAGCGATGGCGTATTGTGCGAACTTGGTCAGCTTGTTGGTGATGCGCTCCGCTTTGGTCACTTGGCCGGGTCGCACGCCAGGGCGCTCCTTATAGAATATATACTGTAGCTTCATGGTAAAGATTTTGCCAAACTGATCATATTGCTGGGCGCCAATCTCCGAGACCGAATAGGAGGGCTGCAGAGGCAGCTCCTGGAACGGCTGCTTGTCGCCAGCCTGGTTGAGCAGCTGCACCACCGGCACATCATTCTGCACCACAATCCGCACGAAGATCTTCTTCCAGAAACGTTGGCCCGTAATTTTCTTCTTGTTGGGCTGACGCAGCTGCATCTCCCAGCCGGGACCGACGTAATTCAGGCGCGGGAACTCTTCCAGCGGCTGTGACACGTCCTCGTCATACAGAGGCGTCTGTGGCGTGTCCTGCGAGTCTGTGCGCTTTATGCTGCTATCTGTAGCTGGTGGTGCCGGAAAGCCGCTAACGTCCTCGAAGGGATTAACCGCTGGCGGCGATGTAGCTGACTGCACCGCTGTGCGCGTGGGAGGCGGTGGTGGCGCCAGCTGCGGTGCCACACCAGATGAACTTTCCGCCTTGGGTCTGATGACCACGCTGAACTCCTTGTCCACAGACTCCACTGAATCGGCACGCGCCGGCGCTTGCATAGCATAGAAATCATCATCCTCATTGCCGAAACCGTCGTCCGTGGAGTTAACCTCGCCGAATGCATTCGCCGTTGTCGTGGCCGAGCCAAAGGCGCTATCGCCCCAAGCTGCAAACGGGGAAAAATGCATCAGAGCCTTCGTGTCTAGCGTGTTATTTACTTACCATCTCCGCCCGTAGGTGTTATGGCTCCGGATCCACCTCCACCACCAAAGCCATCGAGTATGCTGATGTTGTCCTTCTTTACGGAATCAAATTTGGCCGAGAACGCATCGAACTCATCCGGTTCGGCTGCAAAGATGTTGCTCACATAGCTGGCAACTGGAGGCGGAACTGGTGGCATGGCACGTGGCTGCACCTCTGGCGGCATCTCCACTTCGGGCTCGTCCACGGCAAAGATATTGCTGACAATGGCCGGCGGCTGAAAACTTGAATCGTCCTCCTCCTCAGGGCTGGCAAATGGATTGGCAGACAATTGGCCACTGGTCAGGCCAGGAAAGTCCAGGCCGGTGTCCATTTGCTCGGGCTCATCGTTGCCCAGCTCCATGATAGCCTCTGGCACGGCCTGGTTTGTGGCCGGCGACTCCGTGTGTGGACTGTGATCCGAGTCAACAGCAACTGGCTGCTCGATCTCCGGTTCCGGCTCGATCTGCGGCTGCGCTGGCTCCGATGGCTGCTCTGGTGCCGGCTCGTGCTCGGTTTCTTCCTGTGGAGTTGGCTGTTGCTGTTCAACTGGCGTTGGTTCCGGCTCGTCTTCGTCGTCCGATCGTGGCAAGTCCTCCACTGTGGTAATCTCAATATCTGGCGTGGGTGCTCGCTGCCTTTGCGGTGTTTCCTGCGGAGCCGCTATGTGCGCCACGACGGCCGACTGCGGCTGTGAGGTAATGTCATGGGTACTGTCATCCGGTCGAATCAGCATCGAGCTGAATATGGGCTCATCACGCGACTGCGTGTCCGGCAGATCGTCATTGAGCAAATCCGGTTTGGGGGCTGGCGCTGGCGCTGCCGCTGGCTGCTCGAACAGACTGAGTATATCCTCCTTGGTCTTGGGTGGCGGTGGCTTGGCCGGCTTGCTGCTGGTGCTGCCAAACATGTCCAGCAGATCGTCTGCATCGGCAGCTGGTTGCGCCGCTGGTGGCGGCGGACGCTGCGGCGGCGGCGGCACAGGCTGCTGCTGACCATGGCCCTGCATGTGGGCTGGCGGCGTTGGCCGTGGTGGCACCGGACGAGGTGGTGGCGGGCGCGGTGGCTGTTGCTTGGCCGGCGAGGGCATGGGTGCCATGCCCTGCAGGCTGGGCACCGCCGTTGGCACGCCGAAGGGATTGTCGAGCGGCGATGGAACTGCCGGCACTGCACCGTTGCTGCCGCCCATGAGGTCTACCTCAATGGCTTGGTTATGGGCACTCGAGCCACTGTCCGACACATCCACATCGAGCAGATCGGCCAGCCCCGAGTCGGGCGTTGGGCTGGGCGAGTGTAGGTCACGCATGGACACGGGACTAGGCGAGCGGGTGGCCGGTATACGGCCCAATAGCTCCGAACTGGTCTCATCCAACTGACTGGACACGGTGTGTATTAGCTCCTGCGTGCTCTGTGGCGGCTGTGGGCGTGGCGGGGGCGCAGCAGCCTTCTTGCCCTCATCATCCTCCTCGGCGGCAGACTTCAGACTGAGCGCATCGTCCTCGGCCTCAATGGTGGTGCCAAAGAAGCTCATGGCTGCATCAATATCCGCAACTGGCTCTGCCTCCGTTTCCAGCTCATCGCCACCGAAGGCAAACGGATTCGAGGCCGTCTCGCCAAATGGATTCTCCGCTTCACCCGCCTCCGGTTCGGCTTGCATTAGAAATGGATTCACGGCCACATCGCCACCGTCCAGGTCATCGTCCATTAGGAACGGATTGGCCATGTTTTCTGTTTGCTTCTGCTTTAGTTGTGTGTGTTTCCAGACTTTAACGCTCGATGAGCTCGCTCTCGAGCAGCTTGATTTCCGTTTCGCCCGGTGCTAGATTCTCGGCAATAGAAGTGTCGAATGGATCGATGTCCTGCTGCTGCACCAGCAGCTCCTCAGTTGTGCGATTTGGCAGCGACGGCGTCAGCACCTTGTCGCCCAGTCCCAGCTCCTGTGCGTCGCTCTGGGTATCGAGTACACCAGTAACAGGCTGCTTGCTGCTCTCCGGCAGCAGTTCGTTCTCTAGCAGCTTTAGCTCCGTCTGCCCCGGCTGTAGGTTGGCTGCAATTGAGGTGTCGAACGGATCGAGCTCCTGATCCTCGTCCAGCTGCGGGTTACTTGGCAGCTGTCGGCGCTCCTGGGCGGGCGTCAATACCTTGATGTTGATATTCTCCTCGACGGCCAGCAGCACCTCGGCGGGCACTGGCGTTGGAGGTGCGCGCGGATTAAAGTCCGGATCAGATAGACTATGCTTCAATGTAGGCTCTGCTATTAAATCGGCCTCGATGTGCTTCAGCTCAATGTCGCTGAGCTTGGCCTCGGGCACATACGAAGTGTCGAACGGATCCTCTGATTCGCGCTCCTGAATGGGCTGGTAGTACGGTGTCAGCGGCTTCTTATTGGCACCCAGGCCACCGTCATTACCAGCGGCCAGCAAGTCCTGCGAGGGCACTAGAAAGCCCACGCTCTTGCCTTGTATATTAAGGCTCAGCGAAGACTTGCGACGTGCACTATCGAACTCCGGCTCCGGAGCGGCAATCTGCGCTCGTGGCGCTGACTCGGCAACTATTGCTGGCTGATCGGCGCGCGGATCAAAGTCGGGATCGCTGAGCGAATGCTTTAGACTCGAGCCGGTCTCGTTGAGCAGCTCCCGCTCCAAGAATCGCAGCTCTGTGGCCTTGGGCTGAACGATCGCGTTGACCGCCGATGTATCGAAGGGATCAAAGTCCCGCTCCTCCTCTTGGTTGTCAACGCTTAGCGTGGGCGCAAGTGGTGCAGGCACAACCTTGCTCAGGTCGGTGGCACTGCCAGCCAAGAGATCACGGCCCGGCGCCGCTAAGAAGGACGAAGCGTCAGCTGCTTCCTCGGCACGCGGATCGAAATCGTCGTCCTCCTCTAGAACAGTGGTCTTCTTGATCACCAGCTCGGCGTAGTAAGTGTTGAACGGATCGTCGTCCGGATTGGCGTCCTCCTCGTCGTCGCTAACGTAGATTGCACCGGGTACAATGTGCGGTCCACTGGCCGGACGAACCGGCGGCGGCGGTCGTTTCGGTTTCCCTGCAAAGATATTGTGAGAGATCAGTATCCCGATATGAAACCGGTTTGACCAACTAGATCTAGAGCTAAAGGAAAACCAAACATTTGCCCATATTAATAAGAGAGAGGAAGTTGTGAATCGCGAGTGCTAAGTATCGGTATCGCTTAAGCTTATTATCCGACAACCCACCTGATTCTTGCTCTTCTGGCTCCGGCGCAAACTCTGCCCAGCTGGCTTCGGCTGCGGCTTCGAGGAGTAACTCCGCGGGAGGCAGCACTACCTGATTAACTATGGTAACCTCCTCTTTTTTGGTAAGAGACTCGGCTGCTAGTTCTGCAAACTCGTCGTCTTCGTCGTCTTTGAGCGCATCAAACTCGGAGAGGTCCGGATTGAGCTGGCCGAATGCTTCCTCGTCCTCCTCTTCGACTTTTTGGGGCTTGATCAAGTGCAAATGCAGCGAAACACTTAGATCAATGGGCGCCACACATTCGGGCACGTCATCAACGAGATCGTCGAGCAAATTGTGCTGCGGCTCGGCACCTAAGAGATCAGCTTCGGGATCGGCGAGCTCAACACTTTCGCTGAGCAGCAGATTTTGGATGCCCTTGCGTAGTTTGCGCTTCGGATTGGCTAAAGCGAGAGCGTGTTCACGGTCGACGCGGCCCGAGAGCACCTCAACTGCGGCGCCAAGGCTGACGAGCTTCTTGTTGCTCTTGGCCTTGTCGGCGCCAACGATTACCTTCTCCGCGTAGGCAGTATCGAATGGATCGGGTCCGTCGTCTAGCTCAAGCACTGGCGAATCGGGTATGACACCTAATTGCACCTCACCGCTGGTAATTGCCTCAATGTAATCGGTGGCAAAGATGTCATCGACGTCGTCCTGCTGCTCGTCTTCCGAGTCGGATAGCTGGACAACGGCTTCCGCTAACTTATCACGGTTCGCCTCACGTTCGGCTGCTAGCTGGCGTTCGCGCTCGAGTCGCTCCTCCTCGCGCCTGGCGGCCTCCTCTTCCTCTTGCTTCTTCTTTTCTGCTGCCGAGGGCAGGCGCTGATAGAAGGACTCCTTCTTGATACGATCGAGCTCGTCCTGTGTCTTGTGTAATATGTTATCGACACCTGAGGTTAACGCCTTAAACTTGGCCCATTCTTCGTCGCCAGCGTCAGCGTTCTGCGGCTGCTGCTGATGCTGCTGCTGCTGCTGTTGATGCTCGTGACCAGTTGCTGAAGCAAAGCCGGATGCGTGTGTGGCTGCCGATGCGGCCTGCCGGCTAGATGTGGCTGCTGCGCCCTCGACGTCTGATGCTGCGTCCGATTCGCCAGCGTCTGATTTGTTGGCGGCAGCCTCCTGTTTCGCTTTGAGCTCCCGCTTGTACTGCTCGAGCTCCTCTTCGGTGAAGAGTTCCTGGTCCTTTTTTGACTTCTTCTTTTTCTTTTTTAAGCCTTTTGGTAACTTAAGCATTATCTAATTGCGGAGACATCGAGATCGGTCTGCAAATACACGCGCCCACGCATCAAATACAAAGCTATTCACACAAGCACGCACACACACACACTCACACGCACACACACATACATACATATATGCATGCGTGCATGTGGATCTAACGCAACGGGCAAGGATGGGGGCTTGCTGACGCGGGCATTATGTAAGCTAGGAACTCAACTATTTCAACGAACACAGCATCCCAGCATCTCAGTTAAAGTATGAAAAGTACGCAAATTAAATACAGTTTTTGGTTAGGCAAACTACTTGTATGTGTGTGTGAGTATATATATATATATATATTTCAAATAAAGTCTATCTATGACTAATGGGTATTTGGCTATTTGAGTATTTGGGTGGTTAGACACGTTTGGCACTCACCGCCGCAACTCGCAAGGTCCAGAATATTTGGCGAGATTCTTAACGGAAAACCGTTCGACGTTATTTTTCCCTTCGGTTCTCATGCGTTTTCATTTAACATTTGCCTTAGCTTTTCAACTGCGAGTGTTGCATGGGAAAATTCAATTCGCACACACACAAAGGGACGCACACACCACACACCACACACACACACTCTGTTGAGTAGCGGATTGACACAATTGTGTACCTACAGATGAACTTGCCACTTGGCAAAGCTTTTTCACCACACCACACGCAACTCACCACAGCAGCTACAACAACAACAATAACCAGAAGACGAAGAAGAAGCAGAGTGACAGCTTTGTCTTACACTTGACAAAAAAGATTGGCATTGAGAAGGCAAGTGCCTGAAATGTAGGCAACAAAAGCTTTGATGCGGCATGCAACATCAATGCTATGCGAACGCTTATCGAGCTGCAAATAGTTAAATATTATACAAATAACTCGAAAGAACTGTCTGAAAAAGTACGTTCTACTTGAAAGTTTCTTTTACAAAAAATTAGTGACAAATTCTGGCCAAATATATCTTACACAAAAGTTGAAAAAGAAGATATATATCTTCTATATATATTATATATTATGTATATATATATATATATATATATATATATATAATATGAGCTGACAGCAGATTTGCCTTCAAAATGCACACAGTTTTAATTGAAATTCTTTCATAAATCGTAACGCTCTCTAATCAACCTGCTGATCTTGACATTTTGATAGCTTTCACTGCTTTTCTTTATGTGCATGGCTTAAGGGTGCATAGGAAAATTAAATAGATTTCCGGGCTGATTTTCAGCATTCGTTTATGCAATAAACCCGAAAAGAAGCAACTGCCAAGATAAGGCAATTACATTCAAAACATTACGAAATAAGGCAAAAGGTGCCTCTCTTATTTACACGGGCCCAATGTGGCTGAGAAACACAAAATAGAAAAAGAAAAAAAAAGCAGGACAAACGTCAATGGAAATGGGGGGCAGTAGTACCTACTTTTTCGTATACTTGTTGTTGTCGTTGTTGTTGTTCGGGTTTTGCTATAACTCGAGAAAAAAATCGATGGTTGTGAGACGCACTCAAAGAGGGGGTCTGAAAAGTGTGTACGTGTGTGTGTGAGTGTATGTGTGTGTATGTGTATGCTTGTGGGGGCTACTGAAGCAGTGCACAGATAGAGAGAGAGAGAGAGACCAAGTGAGAAGGCACACTGCTGCCATAAAGCGCCTACGCACACATCACACAAATATCACGCACACGCACACACACAGAGCGTGTAACACGTTATATCTTCTTCGTTTTTTTTTTTGTGCACTTGTCAAACACGCTATGAAAAAGTTTTTCGCCCATTTCGTGAAAGTTTTTATTCATTTTCAATCACTCACAGATAAACTCAAATATATAAAAAATATATAAAATAATTTAACTGAACATTGTCTTTTCATTTAAAGCGTTGCTTACGCTCACTCTCACACAGTCTCTCTCTCTCTCTCTCTCTCTCTCTCTCTCACTCACTCTGTTCATCTCGCTGGCATTTAAATTATGCAACTTACGTCTCACTCTTGCGCACTTTTAAAGAACAATTAAAAAAAAATGTTGTAACTTTTGCTGGCGCAAATTAATTAACTATTTTATATTGTTTGTCTGTTCGCTTTGAGTTTATGGCTGGATTTTATTTAGTTTGTTTGTGGTTGGCGTTTTTCTTTCTTTTTTATTTTTTGCTTTGTTACCTCTGATTTGAACTATCGGGAAATCTAGCACAGAATGAATGAGAATGCCATGAAAACTCATAGGAAGTGCTTTCTGCCAAACGCAGCGGTATCCTTCAAAAGCTTTCTCGCAAAAAGCTGCGCGCAAAAAGAGACTACGCACATATACATACACGAGGACACGTGCACCCCTACCCAAGCGCACGCACACAGCTGACGTCGTTCGCTGCTGTCCTGTGTGTGTGTGTGTGTGTGTGTGTAGCTCCTGCTGTGCCACAAAGCTGTGACGCGATAAGCCAGAAACAACAGCTTGAGCTTTCACTCTCACAGACAGAGAGAGCGAGAGAGAGAGAGGAACAGTGAACGAGTGTGTGTGCTTGAGAGACAGAGAGGGAACGCGTGACGTATAGAGCTGCGGTGGTTGCTGCACAACCAAAAACAAAGCAAGTCCTGTCATTGTTGACGCTTTCATCAGTTTTGACACTTGACATTTGTTTAGGCGCTTGCGCGTGACACGGCACTCGTGAGTCGTGACTCGTGAACTATGCGTGACTAGCGCAAAAGCTGCATGAGCTGTAGCCCTGGGCCGATTTGTCAGCTGAAATTTAATTGATTTCAAAAGCTTTGAGCCCAAATACAAAAAAAATATATCTCCATAGATATATATATATATATATAATATATATAAGTAAATATATCACATCAATAAAAAAAAAAAGATTTTTCAAACTAAAAGCTTCAAATTTACCTGCCATTTTAGCTCTGCCTTAAAGATTTTATCTCGATGAGCTTTTTTTGAAGCTTTACTTTGTTCGCTATTTTTGAAATGTAGAAATGTTAATGTATAAGCATATATTGGCCATATCTTTAACTTTTAACTATTTTTTCGCTGTCAAATTGTATCTTTGCCAAAGTCGTTCAACTTCAGTTGAAACCAATTTTGAAGAAGCCTCTAAAGTTATACAAAAATTGAGTATTCATGACAAGAATTCGCACAGTTAATTTGATGCTTTTATTTTATAGGGTATTCAAGCTACGCTTAAACAATGTTGACAATTGATCGATATTTATCGATTAAAAGAAAATGGAATTTACAGTTACAATTTCAAGATTCTAGCTGCAAACGGGCAGACAGCCAAAGACAGGCTTGGCTAGATTGATCAATAATATATATACTTTTTAGGGTCTGCCACGCCTCCTTCTGCCTGTTACATACATTTTCACAGCACCATTTCAGCCTGAATTCCCAATATCAAAGGTTTCAGAGTGCATTAAATATAAGCTATTTTTATTAAATATAATAAATATAGCGCTACGATAGCGGAAGACACATTACACCCAACAGATATATATATATATATATATATAACATACATATATACAAAATACTAATGCAAGTCCAAAAAACGTTGATTCATGGACAATGAGCTAGTTGACATAGTGATAAGCAGGTGGAATGATGATAAGAGTTACCGTTGCGTTAGTCACAATTTTCGATAAGCCCGCCATAGATAGATTTGTAGAGGTATATTTGTATATTCATATGCGTATAGCTGTACAGTATTGTAAATGTTAAGCCCCTAATTTCCCTAACATTGACAGAGCACTGTGCCTATGGGGAAACACGGCTCGCAGTGACGGCAGCCGAAGAGGTTCATATGTAACGGTGTGGGTGGGGCGGGTGCCCCGACACGTAGCTTAGATCTAATCAGTATTTGGATTTAAGTACGGAGTGCATGTATGTGGCCATATCTGGTCTCTACGGAATATTCGGTCTTCCTTATCTAAGTGCGCCGTCTCACTCTAGCAGCTGTCGTTGGGCATAGTTGCATTGCTTTCAGTCTCATGTGCGTCTGGCTATTGCTGCGCCGCTCAGAAGCGTATGTGAGAGGTGAGACGGCATCCGTTGTACCACCATGACTCGATGTTGTTGTAGCTCTGGGTCTTGTGCGTCCAACTGGACTGATGGAGGCGGGCGCAGAGCTCACAGAAGGGCGAGCTCGTCTCCAGCCTGTAGTGCTGGCGCCACCAGAAGTAGCTGATGTACTCCTGCTGATCAGCGGCCACGAAACGCAAGTGCTGCGCCAGCTGCTCAATGCTATCGAAGCGATTCGCATCGATGTAGGAGTGCGGCGGCAGGAAGCGGCTGTAGTTGGCGCCGCCAAAGACGACGGGCACAATGTGGCGCTGCAGTGCATCATAGAGCTTCTCGGTGACATAGTCCGTGCACAGCGAGTTCTCAAAGGCCAGATAAAACAAATAGTCCGTGTCCAACATCTCGTTGCAGTGCGGATCGTCGCGTGCACAGCTGCAAGCAGAATAGAATTGGTTCTCTGTCAGAGCTGAGATCGTTTGCTACTCACTTGAGCGGACCACACTGGCCATAGATGTCCACTTGAATGTGCTGCTGCAGTGCAGCAGCTAGCTTTTCGCGCTCCGACAGCGTCTTGCAGTGGGACACAAACCAGGCGGCCATCTTGGTCTTTGTGTGCCACAGACGAGCCACAGTACTGTCATTCCAGCTGCCCAGAGCTGGCGGCTCGCGCCAATATGGAAAACGACTGGGAGCAACGCGTGCTCCGGTTAGGTTATCCACCACATGGGCGTAGGGCCAGACGATGTCCGAGTCCAGGCGATAGGTCATGGTAAGATTATAGAAGTGCTGCTCATCGTTCAGCTGATGCTTGGTCTCGCCTGGCGGCTCCATCAGGGCGAAGACGTACGCCTGATGCGGACTACGGCGTGTGGGCAGCGGCAACAGCAGCGGGAAGGGTTGCGCCACATGGTAAACGATGGCATCATAGAGCTCCAGGCTGGGCAGGAAGTCATGTCGATTGCTCAGCTCGCACTGATACACTGGACAGTTGAGATCGTCTCGAAATTGCTGTGGTCCCAGCGTATCCGACGGCAGACTCCAGCGTCTATTGCCAAAGAAGCTGCTCCACAGCAGAATTGTCCGAGTGCCCGGTCGCGTGCCAACACTCACCTGGCTCTCGACCAGGTACTCACGCAATATGCCATTCTGGTTAACGAGCGGAGAATTGTTAATCTTGTAAATCAAAGCACCGAACAGGAACAGGCAAAGCAGCACCAAAGCCAGCGTCCGGCGCGTCTGAAAGCGCATAGTCAACGGCCAACGATGGACGGCCAACCAGCCAGCAAGCAACCAGTTCGAGCGGTCATCGGCAATTGCCATGCCCGCCAGACAGTATAGCCTCGGTTCCCAAAGTGACTTATCAGCTGATAAGCCACCAGCCGCGGTGAGCGTAAATTATACACCAAAACTTATCAGAGAATAGATTAAAATAGATATTTTCAAAGTGTTCTAGCCCGACACGAGCTCCGATATATAACTATTTGTTAAAGTGTTCTCATGGGAGGCATTTATTGATTGAAAAAACATTCGGATTTCAAATGTTTCGAATACACTCGTACTGAAAAGTCTCTGCTCTGTTGGAATCCGCATTCGAACTGTTTTTACTACTTAAACATCTAGTCTTATATACCTAGCACGAGAGCTTAGGCGTACTTCCAATTATTGGAAGGGTCATAAGTTACATAGACGTTGCCAACTCACGTTGGCGCTTCTGCCTCTCTTTGCCTTCAATCTCAAGCCGCTCTTGGGATAACGCGCAGGTTATCAGATCTTATGCACTATTATTTTCATTGAAAACTCGTTGTGAATTAAGAGTACTTATATTAACATTAGTTGTGGATGTATATATATATATATATGAGTCGTACACGGACTAATTCCTGTAAGCCCTTCTGCTGGCAACTCCGCTTAGCTATTGACGCAGTGAGTGCAGCGCTCGAGCTGATCTCTCCAGTAGTTGGATGAGCAGTGCGAAGAGCATGACGAATCCATAGGCCAGCCATGTCTTCAATATCAAGATCAAGGGTTTCATGCTGCACACGTATATATATATATGTATATATGTATATATATATATATACTTAAAAGTGCGTAAGAAAAGTTTCTTCGGCTATTTTGGCAACCTTCTCCGACGGCAGCTTAAGCGCTTTTCAGCTGCAACAGCCGCTGCCAATGCCAGCCACTGCCGACTATGCATAAATAACAAGTCATTTGAGAATTTGAACACAAGGCTTTCCCAATACACACACACAAACACACACACGCACACATAGCGGGCTCTTGCTTGTTATATTGTCATTTGACATGACCCGTGTGGAATATATAGCGCAGCTAATTTGGCTCAGCCACGCCTTCACGGTAATTGAAGAGCAATCTTTGTACAACATTCATTCATTAACTAATGGACTTTTGTCATTGACAATGTAATGCATTTGCTTGGAGCTTTCCAATCGGCATTGGTAGCCCACGGCATTTCGGACCACTCAATACAATTTAATTAAATATACATATTGGTTAAGCCACTTGAACGTATCTTAAATAAGCTATTTATATCGATTTCTTGTTAACTTCTTCACTGATAATTCAATTAAAAAATACATATATATTGGTATGATAGGATAATGTATTTCAAATACAACTATGTATGTATATACACATATTTATATATATATGTATATATTTATTTATATTACTAAAAGTAATTTCTCTACATTGCTTTTTACATATTCTTATACTCAGAAAACGATTTTGAATATTTCGTTGCGCCCGCAGTTTATTGACTTTTCTTTATCGCTTCTAAAAAAAAAGTAAGAATTTTTTTTTAGCGACTTAGTCTGGATCGCTCAAAGAATCTGCACAAGATTGAAGGCTGAATCATACAAATAAATTGAGTTAACAATTGACAAAGAACAATAAAACAATTAAAACAAAAACAAAATGCCAAAATTAAGAAAACAGAAAATTAAATAGAAATACTGGACAAATTTTTGGATGTTCGCTATTCAAAACGGGTAACTAATAACAGAATCATGCTTATATGCACATGCTAGCACACACCGTACATGGTTCCATGTGGTATGATGGGTACATACATACATACACGTATTATTTACAAATACACATTGATTATAGTTCTAATAGTACATATGTATTATCACAATGGACGACTGCCAGGCAGTCTAGATGCCGCAACAAGAGCGCTGCACGCCGGCGTTGGTGTGACCATTTTCATCCTGATCCGCCTCGACTCCGTCATCCGAGATCGAGTTTTGTAGACGCAATGCATTGGTATCGTTTTGCTGCTTACTGCCGTGATGCTCGACCATCAGTCGGGTAAGCAGCTCGAACAGCTCGTTTACGCCGTCGTTTTCCTTAGCGGACGTTTCTACATAATGTGCACCAACCGTTTGCGCATAGCGCAGCGCCGTCTCATAGCTGATGGCTCGCTGGTCCTCTAGGTCAGTCTTGTTGCCCACTATAATCAGAGCAATTTCGCTTCCGCGCATCTGCTTCAGTTCGCGCACCCATGACTTGACTTTTTGGAATGAGTCCTGATCGGTGATATCATACACCAGCAAGGCGCCATCCGAACCCCTATAGTAAATGGGTCCTAAGGCATGGAAACGCTCTTGGCCGGCCGTGTCCCATATGTTAAGCTGTGCGCGTCGCTCATCTGGCAGCATCACTTTTTTAGTCACGAAGGACGCCTGCAGCGTGCTTAGATGCTGTGTATTGAATCTGTCCTCCATGTATCTCAATACTAGAGAAGTTTTGCCCACACAGCCTACAAATGCGCATCACATTAGATATACATATATACATATATTTATAAAACAACAATTTCGATTGTTGGTTTAGTCACCTTCGCCCAGCAGCACAGCTTTAAAATTCAGCGTGGGCCCAGCACCTGGTCTTCGCGAACTCATTATTGGTCCACTCGTTTGCAATTTAATAAGCGATTCCGAATCATTGAGTTAATATGACACTTGGAATTTTATAATTGATTTTACTTTCATATATATACATATAACAAGACTTTTTGTCAAATTGTCCAGAAGAATCGCACGACAATCGCCGATAGACTGTGGTGGCATGTCGATTATTATAAGAGACAGATAAATTTAGTAGTTTTGGTATTTAAATTGCAGTATGTCGCAGAAAACAGTGTCTAACTTAAAAATGGCAAATAATTCATCGAGCTATCGGTATATACTGGTTCCATGACCAGGTTAGCACTCGTGTTGAACCAAACTTAAGTTTGGCGCGCCGTTTGAGTTCAAATTAACAAGTAAGTATTGCCAATTTAGATTTTATTGTATTAAATACAACAATCATAAAATTAACTAACCGTATTTGTACTCTTCACTCACAATTTATTTTATTTTCAATTTACTTCATTTTACACAATTTAAGCTTCCTCCTCATTCTGCATATTTTCCTCATGCGCAAAATATGTTAAATTCCAGCACATAACACATAGCACACGGGTCTGGAGGCGTGCGCACATCCGTTTTGACCAAATTGCAGTTGTTACTGTTGTTATTCACACGACGTTTGCTCTCAATTGAGGCGGCACTACGCAGAGCCACACTTCACACGCTCCCGGAATTGAAGAGGTAGAGAGAGCATTCATTCTTAGGTACATCTTACAGTGGGCCGAGCACGTAGATGCTGCGTACATAATAGTACTCTACATTCATTCTCCATTCATTAGTCGCATGAAAACAACCATCGTACACACATTACATTTCTCTCTCTCTCTCTCTCGCTCACTGCCTCTGACTCTTCATCGACTCTGCTCTCACTTGTCGCGCGCTCTCTGCGTGTGGCTCCGTCCCCGGCTCTATCTTTGGCTCTGGAACTAGCTCTGGCTGAGAGGCTGTGGCATCTGTTTTCTATGACAACGGCAATGGCGCAGCTTTGACTCGTGCTGCCGTTTCATTCTAGAATTAAGTGCCGACACAGCAGGAATCTATTTTCGCAGCATCAGGCGCGCTTCGTGTGCCTCCAAAACCCGGAACCGAAACAAAACGAAACGAGCCAAACCGAAACGTAGCAAAACGAAGCTAACGTGAATGTGTAACGGTATCGGCAGCGTTAATTGCAATGCAACAAAAACTCAAAATACATTGAAAACTAAAACAATCGAAGAAAGTTTCATTTGTAAAAGTTAGTTGAAATCAAATAACGGCAAAGTCTAGCTGTCTATATAGTTTTTTTTTCTAATTTCTTTTACTGTGCAAAGATATTTGTAAGAAGCTAAATCCTGCCCTACTAAAACACTCATACACAACACATGCAAAATATTTGGTGTACACACACACATACACACACAAACGCAAAGTGGTTTTCTGTGTAGGCGCTGCGTTGTCTTCGCCGTTGGCATCGGCGTCGACGTCGACGCCAGCGTCGCATTTGGCATACATAAAGTTATGGCCTGTCCGTTAGAATTCAAAAGCCGCTGGTCTATCGCTTAACGGTAGATGCTTGAGTGCTTCCTTGCGTTGCTGGACATAGTTGTGTGTGTGTGTGTGTGTGTATTTGGTCAGTAAGCCAACAACAATTGCGTCAAAAAGAAAAACAACAAACGAACGGGCAACAACGGCAAATATTTTGTTTGCTTTGTCTGCGCTTGTCCTTTCGGGGTTGCTGTTGTTGCGTCTTTCGTATTACGCACTTTCGCACACGCACACACACACGCACACGCACGCATACTCAAAGGATTTGTGGCGTAAAAGGCGAAATGCGCAGCAAATGCAATTGCCACGCCCCACACCGCCAACCCGTTCTACAACGCAGAGGCTGCTGATTACTTTGTACATGCGTGTGTGTCTGTCTGTGTGTGCGTGTGTACATATGTGTATGCTGCTGTAACTTTTGCATTTCTAGGGATACACAGGATACACAAAATGCGCGTTAGCTCCATAAAGTGAAGTGAAAAGCGTCAACAGCAGCAGGAACCATAACAAAGGCCAACAGGCAAAAAAGAACAAAGAGAAGAGAAGAGAAGTAAGGGGAAGGGAAGTGCTAAAGGCCAAACAAAAACATTTCACAGCTCGTGTAACGGAATTTGCGTGAAGCGAGTCTGCAAGTAGAGCGGGAGGCAGAGGCAAGGAGCGGGGCTAAACAAACAGAAAAAGGAACAGTTTGAGCAACAGTAGGCGGAGCAGCTGCTGTAGCAGAGCGAGCGAGCGAGCATGGATAGCTCGCCGGATTTGTCGCTGTCGCTGAAATTGCGTCGCGGCTCCAGCGATTCGCGCGACAATTTCTATATGGACTTTGCGCAGGGCATCGACTCGGACATCGAGGAGGTGGACAACAGCAATACAAATCTGGACGATGCCCTGGCCTCGGGCTCAGGCATTCAGATGGCGTTGCCACCGCCGCTGCCAACAGTCCCACTGAGCGATGAGATGCTGTTGCTGGTGGCACCGCCGCCACCGCCGCCGTCGACGACCTCGCTGCTGGGTCAGCCATTGCCCACGCTGACTGAGACGGACGATATGCCACCAACACCGACGCCGCCGCCACAGCAGCAGCTCAGCATGGAGGCCAACTCGCCACCGGGCTCACCCAGTAACTCGGTGCTCGAGCTGGAGCTAATACCGCCGCCGCCGCTGTCGCCCATGGACGACGCCGGACTGCGCACCGACGACGACGAAGGCGAGGAGACGGACGATGCCGAGGAGGCGGTCATTGAGCCGCCAGCAATTATGCAGCAGCAGCTGGAGCTGGAAACCGACGCCGATGCAGATGACGACGAAGATGACGATGATGAGGATGAAGACGATGACAAATCCACACCGCCACCACCACTACCGCCGCTGCCCTCGAATCTGTCGTATGTGCAGGGCAGCGTCACTCCCCCATTGACCAAATCGCCATCGACTTCGCCGTCGCCGCCGGCAACGCCGCCTCCGCTGCCGGAGCTCAATATCTGCAAGATGGTGTCGCCGCCAGCGCAACATATTAGCCAGATACCGCCGCTAACACCCTCATCCGAGAGCGAAGAGGAGTCACAGACGAACTCGCAGCCCATTTCCAGGCAGGCGGAGGAGCAGGCGCAGCAAGAGCAGCAGCCAGTGCCGGATCCGGAACCGGAACCAGAACCTGTGCCAGAATCAGAGTCAGAGCTTGAGCCGGAGCCCGAGCCCGAGCCGGAGCGTGAGGCGGAACCTGAACCGGAGCCTGAGCCTGAGCCTGAGCCCGAACAGCTACAAATGAGCGGAGGCCAGCAATTAGCAGCCGAGGACTATAGCCGATCTCTAGACAATGAAGATGAGTCCACTACGATCACAACACCGCCCAGCAATGGCTACTCTGCATCCTCGATAATTGCTCCGCCGCCCGAGAACTTTGGCGAGCTGGACGAGGATAGCATGGGACGTGGCTTTATACCGCCACCGCCAGCTGGTCTTGAGGACGCCGATGAGCAGGATGAACAGCAGCAGCAGGAGCAACAGTCGCAGTCGCTCGACGCTGACGACGATGAGCTGACCAAGGTCGAAACCGACGAACTGTCCATGGACAAAATGTCACTCAATGTGGCCGACGAAGAGGGCAACGACGAGCCTGGCGACAGCATCAGCTCCCCCCGAGCCGCCAGCATTGCCAGCGGCGGCATCATGTCCACCAGTGGCGCCATTGCTGCTATGGCCACTGGCTCTGCTTTGCCAGCATCGCCCAAGTCGGACGGACGCGTGCCCAGTCGCAGCGGCAGCCAGCGCTCCCATGCCGGCTCGCGCACTAGCTCTCAGCACGGCTCTCGCATTGGCTCCCACGCGGGCTCCCGTGCGGGATCGCGTGCTGGCTCACGCACTGGCTCAATAGCCTCTGCCGCAGCTGTTGTGCCCGTGCTCTCGCCTCAGGCATCGCTCAAGTCGCAAGCGTCTGTCAAGTCGCAGGCCTCCATCTCGGAACGGAGTCCCGCTCTGTCGATCAAGTCATCGCAGCGCAGCGCCGAGCGCGTTCAGAGCCCGCCCGTGGGCGAAAGTGCCCCGGCCATGCCCTCGCCCCCATTGATGCGCAGCTCGCCACCGCAGCTAGCCAAGAGTCCACCGCGGCAAATGCACAGCCCGCCGCGTATTACAACGCCGCCGCGCGTCTGCAGCCCACCGCTGGTCAGCAGTCCACCTAAGCTGTCCGAGACAGCTGCCGCAGCAGCCGCGGCCTCAATGCCGAGCGTGCCCAAGGAACAGTTCGGGTAAGTGAACTCAAACCTGAGCGCCTGACCTTTATCCACATATGCACTGGGCTCTCAAAAGTATGCAACACTTTTTGTCTCAAATGATTTGTATTACTTAATGATAATTCTGATTGATCGATAGTTATCGATTATGTTGTTAATTGACTTTGACTGTGAATTGTCTAGTCTAAATCGCTGAACTGCCTCGCCAACAAATTTAATATCCTTCACGTAATATCCCAATTGCTAATGTTATCGAAATATATCTGCGAATCTTACGTCTACATAAGTTCGGGCATCTTTTCCCCGACCTATGGCGTATAGATATTATACATCGAGTCAAAAAATCAACCTTTAACCAAGTTGTTTCTATGGCCAAGTCGTTTTGAGACTTTAGTCTCAATGAGCTTTTGGTTCATGTCTTGTTCCTGATCGATAAATGAAAGCGATGAATTTCGACAGCACACCAAAGCTCTTTCGCAACAGTTTTCCCATTTCCTTTCCTATCTCATCAGTTAACTCATTAGCCCATTTTTCCTCGTTTACTTTGGACGAATCGCTTAATCGTCTTGCGGCGATTAAATTGATAATTCTTACCCCATAACATGAGCTTTCAGTCCTAGTCTCGAGTAGTAGCTATCTATATAAACCATCTGTTGGTGGCTCGGTTCGTCCTTCTAAGGATGTGCCAAGCACTTTGAGCAACATATTGGCATGCACACTCGCACACTCACACACACACACACACACACACACACACAGACTGAGCGACTGCCATCTACTGCGTCTTTGTTAATTGCATAAACGCTGTCTTGGCTCTCAGCGGCCGTTGTCTGGTTCCATTAGTTGCTGTTAATAGTCGAGCAAAACTGTTTAACTCATGCACTCGACACTTGCCGCATGTTGCATGCAGTCCTTGCTCGTCGCCTGGGGCCCATGTCTGACGCCCGCTATAAATGCGCTGCCTTCCAGCGCGCATCCTGCGCCTCACTAGTCGCTGCTACACTTTGCATTAATTAAACATCACGTTTCCAGTGCAACACCCTGACAAGTTGCAAAGCCATTCAGGCCGCATGGGCCACGCACCCAGCGCGGCACACGCAGCCCACGCAGCCCACGCGGCCCACAGGGCGCACACGGCGTATGCGGCATTTGTTAATATGCATACGTCACGTTGGCCGCTGTCGCCAGCATCCACTGTGTCAGTTGCAGCTGCAGTCGAGTTAATTGGCTCGCCACGAACAAATTGCGCAACAAAGAGCATGTCTGCAGGTTATTGTCCTCCGCTGATGTCACCTGCTGGCGCCCACTGCCACGCCCGCAGCCCAACCCAAACCAAAATGGGTCAATTGAAAGTTTGTTGCAGCAGCCAAAGGACCAGTTGCTGGCCCCCAACCCCGGAAATGGACGGCCATTCAACGTATGTATGGCATTTGCGGTCGTGTTTATTCTGCCGGGCCAGCCTTAATGGACATTTCCAGGCCAGTGCCCAAGACTGAGACAGAGACTGATACTGAGACTGAGACAGAGGCTGAGACTGTGACTTGAATCAGCTGTGAATGCACATGAGCACAAAGAGTCGAGTCGAGTCAAGTCAAATGAATGCCCAACGAGCGCCATTAATTAGCAACTGAATAAACCGTAAGCAATCGCAATAGGCAGACTTGGGAACTATCGATAGATCTGAGAGCTGCCACTGCTGCCTGCATTCAGCTGCTGACTTTCTGTGCAAGGCTTGACTTTGTTGTGCCACGGGCCTCGACGCATCCATTTATGCAACAGTCGTGTCGAGGGCAGGTTAACAACCCCAGCACGCTTTTAGAAATCGGATTATAAAAGAGCGATTGAGTGCATGACCCACAGTAACCACCACCAAGCGGGGCTGGCAGTCAGGCAGGCAGCTGGCACGACTTCAGTGTCCTGTCGACTGGAAGCACGCCGCAACGAGTCAGAGTCGAGCCGATGTCAAGGTTATTTATGCATAGTTGCAGCGAGCTATGCCACACTTGTTGCGAGTCCCGTGTCGCGCACCCTTAGACCAAGTACCTTTGCAGCTCCATAAGGACAAGTGCCCCGTACAAGTGCTTGACAATGCTGCCGAGTGCCAAGCGGACAGACACTCAAACACAAACTGAAACTCAATCCGAAGCTGAATCTCAGTCTGTCAACTGGATTTTCTTTTATATAAACAAATCATGCATCATGAATTCATGCCATTGAATGCTTTGTGTGAGTGTGCTTCGAGTGTGTATGCAAATGAATGCATGTGGCAAGAGCTCGTGCTAACAACCTCTGAGGCGGCATGCTGACACCTAGCTGTCAATCTAACTATCCCAGCGATCGATCCAGCTGCATAGATACAGCTCATACTACATGGGCAAGCGCTGCCTGATCTAGCAGAGCTGAGTTCATCAACCAAAGCTTGTCTCTTGTTCAAGTTGTATCTGAAAAATGTCTGTTGCAATCCTCATTTGCCTGTCAGCGCTTCGTTTAGCCTTAATTACACGTCCGTCGCGCTGGAGTTGCAAATAGCGAGTTGCTACCCCAGGCAGCGCATACACAGCTAGACTAGCACACCTCGACATGCAACACACATATATTTATGTATATATAGATATATATATATGTGCAGATTGAGATTGTGCCTGCTGGAGAACGATTAGTTTCAATTGCCGCAGCCGCGCTTTATGGAGGGGTTTTCATTTGTTTGTTTTTTTTTTTCACATTTTTTGCTGCTGTTATTAAGCACAATTTAGGCGCACACCGAACTAGTGTGTGGGAGTATATGACATATGCATGCGTATATATATACATATATAAATAAGTGTATATATAGAGGAGAATTAAAACACGCTGCTTGACACTGACAATGACACAGATCACAGCTGATTAGGGCCTCCAAATTGATTTATGGGCAGCGATCGGTAGGAGCTGAGCTGAGCTCAGTCTCTGCCTTCAGCTTGATATCTATTGGACTCCAGTGATTTGAGTTATTTCTTTTCAATTGAGCTGCAATTGTAGCGCGACGGCTGTGCACTGCTTTTGTGCTTGAGTGCCACACAATGTGGCTGTCGACGGAAGTGTCTGGCACCCGAAATGATGATGGGATGATGGGCAGTGGCCAACGGTCAAGCGCTCGCGTTTAGTATAGCCGTGTGCTGCGGTGCCTCCCATGGCAACGGCGGGGGCCATTATTTAATTAAGCCACTGTTGCGGCTGTGTCTGCAGAATATCTGCGCGCAAATAATATGGAATGGGGGCCTCGTGCATGGCCAGCGACTGGTCGCCTACTCAGTCAATCGATGTCGCTCATCGCTGCGACTGCACTTGATCTGTTGCGGGGCCAGCTAAGTAATCCAGCGCACACTCCATGCCTTCTTCCACTTCCAGCAGCAACAGCAACAGCAGCAGCAGCCGCAGGCTCTTCAATCGCCAGGAGCCGCCATTTGCCACGCTCACCTTTCAGGATGAGCAGCAAGCGCAGCAGTCGCAGCCATCACAGCCATCGCAGCTGGCCAGCGGCGAGTCCGTTAGCGCTGCCAGCGTTGTGACCAGCCAGCCGCGTGCCCACTTCACGAGCAGCCATCATCATTACCATCTGCCGCACCAGTTCCAGCATCCGCATCATCAGAATCACCACACGCACAGTGTACGCGTACCCACGCCCACTGTGCCGAGCAGCTATACGCCCGCTGTGGACGCGGACGGACGCTCGCCGAGCAACATTCGACGCGCTATGCCGCCAGTGCTGAGCAGCGCCCTGCTCTCGACGCCCGGCGATGCTGGCCATGTGACGGTGGCCGTATCGCCAGGCCGTTTGTCGGCACGCTCCGCGCAGCATCATGTGACCATCGATGAGTCCAATTTGCCAACCAAGTGCAATACGGAGCGTGCCGGACCCAGCGGCCTGATACTCGTCGGTGGCGAGGGCGACGGCGATGACAATGCCGGACCCGGCGGCGATAGCTCGGAGCCGCCCTCATCGCCAGGCAGCAGCTCCCAGTGCCAGGAGCGCCAAAGCGGCCAACTGGCGCTCATGTATCATTCGCATCAGCTGACCAACTATCCGGTGATGCCGGCCATCAAGCGCACACATCGCCCCTCCTTTGTCTATCCGCCAATGCCGCGCGTCAAGGCGTAAGTATATATATATATATATATATGAGTTATATATAATAAATATTCCCATTTGATAACAGCGGCGATGCGCTGGCCACACTCTTCTCGGCCCTCTATGGCAAGCTGCTGGTAGTCATGGGCGTGGCCTTTCCCATGGCCGAAGTCATTTCCACCTACATACCGCCATCCTTCTACGAGGTAAGCTCTACTTAAGTGTCCCACTTGCTAACAGATGAGGTCTGAGGTCTCTTAGTTCTCATGGTTACTTAACTTTTTCTGCTCCCAGAGTCCATAACCATTTGTTCCTCTAGTTTCTAAAGCTCTTATTTTATTCCTTTCTATATCTATCTATCAATATTTGGCTTTTGTAAAGTTCTCTGTGCACTCCTTGATTCGTTTTGCCTTTTTCAATTCATTTCATCCTGAATTCTGCAATTTCCTTAGTTCATATCCTTATCTTCTTCTACTTCATATCTTCATACAGCAGCTAACTTGCCTTATGTTTTCTCTTCGGCCAGGTTTACTATTTGTATTTGTATATTGGAAGCATGATCTTCTTGCTGTTTATGTACGCCACGCTGCTCTGGGGACGACCCAAGCTGCCCGTGCCCGTGGGTAAGTGAATCATTGCCCTGCTCAAGCTCTGGCACAAAGGAGCTGATGATAACTTTGGCATTTGCAGCGACGTCGCCCACTAAGACCACATCCAAGGTGAACGCCTCGGATAGCATGGACGAGTCGGATACGGACAGCACCACGACGCGTCGCCGCATTCAGCCAGCCATACCGGTGCGTCGTCCGTCGCTGCTGTCGCCGCTGGGCAGGCAGCATCACTATGGCAGCTTCTACTTGCGCATGGGCGCAGTTGGTGAGTGAGCAGCTGCAGCTGGATGCCAGTGAGGGAGACGTTTGTAATCGTTGTTGTTTTTCTTCCTGTTGTTGTTGTTGCTCTGTGCAGCATTTGGCATTGGCAGCATGATCTATTCGGGCCTGGAGTTTGGTCAGTACTTCGAGCTGAACCCGGACACGAAGTGCCACAATGTGCTGCTCGCATTGACGCCAGCGACGCGCATGGCCTTCATCTTCATACAGATGTACTTCATATTCCTGAACAACGAGCAGATCAAGGTGTATCGCTATAAGATCATCGCTCGCTTCGGATTGATGCACATGATCGGCACGAATCTGGCCGTCTGGCTGAACGTGTTGATTCAGGAGACGAAGCACGAGATACTCACCTTCTACAATCCAGAAAATCGCACGCTCCGCATCTCACATCGCATCCCTGGCCACTCGCGCGGACACGCTGTCATCGCACACGATCCAACGGCTCATTTGCGTGTGCCGCGTGGCCTCAAGGGTCCCTACCAGATCTTCGAGTGCCGCCGCACCAACATCATTGGCACCCTGGTGCAGGACGCCTCGCCCTTTCTGTTCCCCTGCACCATCGAGTACTCGCTGATCTGTGCCGCCATACTCTACGTGATGTGGCGCAGCATTTCGCGCCCGCAAACGCCCACCCCGCAGCGCCCGGACATGATTAGCTCGCCGATGAAACGCTCGCCCCATCACTATTCCGTGGACTGTGCCCGGGCACACAAGGGCCTGTTCGTGGGCATACTTATTCTGGTGCTGACCATCATCTCGCTGATCATATTCTTCGTGCTGATCTCGCGACCCGAGTTCGTGGCCCTGGCTGTCACCGAGGTGACCATCTGCGAGCTGCTCATCTACGGCACGGCGACCATAGCTACGCTGCTGGGCATGATACAGATTCGGCATTTGCAGTACGATGCCTACCGCAGCTTCTCACTGGACGACATCCTGCTGGTGGGCGCGCAGACTGGCTCGTTTCTGTACAACATCTTCACGGTGATTGCCGGGCACTTTACGCTGCGCAGCGACGACATGCTGGTGCCCATCAATGCGCTGGCCTCCATTGTGCAGACCGCCTGCCAGACCATGTTCATATTGGACGCTAGCCGGCGGCAGGCGGTTAGCCCCGAGCATATACGCAAGAAGCCCGGTCGGGAGATTGTCACATTCATGTTGGTGGTAAATCTGGCCATGTGGGCCATTAGCACGCTGGAGAAGTCGCGCGCTGAGTCGCATCCCATACAGCTGAACTTCTATGGTCTGTGGGCCTGGACCATCATAACGCACGTGTCCATGCCGTTGGCCATATTCTATCGATTCCACTCGACCGTCTGCCTGTGCGAGATCTGGAAGCGGGCCTACAAGCTAAAGCCGACGTATATGTGAGAATTCGCCCGCTTGCGCATTCAAAGCATTGCGCAGCAGCAACAATTTTGCGAGGATCTCAAGACCAATCTATCCTTCTGCTACTGCTCCACAACTTTGGCTGGCGGTGATCTCGAGACAGTTGATGAGGTGGACAGCGGAGAGAGCGGCAATGGCAATGGCAATGGCAATGGCAATGGCAATGGCAATGGCAATGGCAATGGCAATGGCAATGGCAATGGCAATGGCAATGGCAATGGCAATGGCAATGGCAATGGCAATGGCAATGGCAATGGCAATGGCAATGGCAACGGGAATGGTGCCAATGGCGATGTTGAAGCAGGAGCAGGAGCAGGCACGGCCGGAAATGCGGATGCATCTATCCAGCTGGACGAGGGCGAACAGGGCGGCGGCAGCGCAGCCAGCCGATTGGAACGGACCCACGGCCGGGCGCTGTCGCCGCAAAGCCTCAACACCGAGAAGGCCTTCTGTCCGGTCTACGTTATAAATGGCGAATGAGTTTACGCTCACTTTGAGTTCATCGACGCGCTGAGCGGCCATGAGCTCAACTTTGTTTAGCACCAACGCCCACCAAACATAGGGAACCCTTCACTCATTATGAAGAGCATGCTTAGAGTATATCACTCACCCCACCATCCAATACCCACCATCTAAGAAACCAACGTCACGTACCCACATTCTACTTTAGCCTGGGCGGGTGCCAAGCCACCGAAACCATGAAAACTGACAAAACTAAAGCAAAAACATATCCGCAAGTTGGAAATGGCAATGGAACATACATATTTAAGACAACGTACATATACATATAGAACCGCATATAGAAACTGCAGATGCATATACTCTTAAAGGACGAGAGTAGTCAGAGTCCCACAGAAACCATGCACATTCCCAAGCAAAGTAAAAATCTCGTAGTTATCTAAGTAATTTGCGTGTGCGTCGATCCTAGACCCAATGCATGATTGCAACTCGAGTCGTGCTCGTCCGTCTGAACTGTTCGATCTCCGAGCCTTCACTAGACACACAGTCGGTCGAAGCTCAATCGAGGCATATCCCCAACCTTTTTAGCGTAGAAGTTCCCAATTGTGTATGTGTGTCTGTATGTGTTTTCATATGGCAATGTTACAGTTTATATATACGATATCAACATAATGATATATATATATATGTATATATATACATCTATTCGTATACCCACAAGTTAGATTCATATTTATTCCAAATTGCATAAGAATATACAAATATTTCAAAATGTTGGTGTTATATGGTAATGGCATATGGTATATGGTATATGGTATATGGTTAAACAATAACAAGTTCCACAGTAGGTTTTAGCGTTGGACACAGCAAAAGCGAACAGAAAGAAGTATTAACAGGTTCAAATTCCCATTTCATACGAATCATGTTGACTCTAGAGAGACTGAATGTGTGTCCATAATGACCAGCACGAAACTTCACCAACAAAATCTTCAACTGAGAAGCGCTGAGAGAGGCGCCGCCGTAAAACGAGTTGTGAATCGTCAAGCAAATAATAGTATTCATATTATCTAAAGAGTTCGACTTAATAATATACACAATACACGATACACGATATGATACGATCCTAAACTACATACATAGTTGACATTCCTGCAGCTCGAATACGTTCAAGAAGAGGCAAGAATTATTTGAATTAATCGTAGACGTTGCTAAGTACATTGAAATTAAAATACATCTACTTGTATATTAAATATAAAGCGAGAAAAACACAAAAACCCCACCAAATGCGAGCGATAAAGTCAAACAACCATGAAAAGTATTAACTATATTGTACTACATAGTAGCATATGATATAGACAGGTTTATAACGTATAAGATATAGCGAGTGTATACACATACATACTTACATATTCATATACTCGAATGTTTATAATCGACAACAGTAACAGCTACATTATTGCTGATAGATAAATATATATATATATATATATATATATATATATATATATATATATATATATATATATATTTGCAGCACTTTGAAGTAAACTTTGGAATAGACTTGATCCTCTTATTGTTGAAAACTCCTCGTTTATTATTGATCTTGACTCGTTGCCGATACATAACGAAATTTGTGTTTGTTGAATTGCAATTTTGGTGTTCTATTGGATACTATTTTATAAGCATTGATATACTTGTTGAGAGCTTCGTTTACCCTTGTTTATAGGTTCTTGTGATAATTTATCTAACTATACTCATGCTTGCATACGTACATATATATCTATATCTATATATGTGTTCTGTATGCCAAACTCTTTATTTACGATTCATATACAAAAAGAAAAAGAAAATCGAAACGAATAATACGTAGCTAAGACTATATATATATATATAAATCAACTATTCAGTATTGATTAAGCTCAAACGATAAAAGGACAAATCATAACAAAAAAAAGAAAAACAAAAACAGCTCAATGAGAAATGCATTCGAAACGCACAAGTAAAAGCAAAAGCAGAACAACTAACTATATATAAATTGTACTTTTAAATACTTAAGAGAAAAAATACATTTTTTTTTGTCTACCATAAAGGTGTAGCCTAGCATTATATATATATATATATATATATATATATATATACACGTGTGTGTACAACTAAATGTTTTACATACAGTGGTTTTTATTAGTATATATACATCTATATATTTATATTTATAACTAGTATTTCCCTCAGCTGCGAACCATTGACTTGTATATTTTTCAAATGCCAAAGAGTTTTTACTTAGCCTAAGTTTAACCTGCTTACTATATACACAGATAAAGGCATGCATATATGTATGTATTTAGTTGGTACCAAAGATTTGAGTTCTCGATTTGAAAATCAAGTCTTAGTCAAATTTCTAAATGCCAAAAAATAAAAACAGAATAAAATTAATTTCAAGTAAAAAACTTCGAATCAAAAACAAATATTTATATATACATATATATTAATTATTAAAGATGTGTATATGCACAACTTAGTTATCTCAATTTTATATTCAAACTAAATTTTTAACTAGCATAACTGTAACTTTGTATGCATTTTCTTACATGTATTTATTGTACTTGGACACCGCTCAGAAGAAGCAAACGAAATGAAGTGAAATTGATATCGAAATGAAAAGCCGTTTAAATCGAATGTGTCAAATCAAAATTGAATTGTAATAATAGTCTATAATTATAACTAGTTACTAGTTGCGAAATGTATGCGCACTACATTCAGAAACTGTATTGACAGCTCCTATTCCAGTAGTCAAAGTCAAGTCGAAAAAAAAAACAAAAAAAAAAACCCAAAAATATAAAAACAAAATAAAATCCTAAAGTTGTGCCCAATATTACAAACTTTTTTTAATGCAAAAATAATCAAATAAATTTAAAGAAAAAAAAAAACATAATTAAATAAACAATACAGTTCGTAGTTATATTGATCAGCAAAAACCTATAACCACTCGACTATTTGTTCTATTCAAATTGACTTTCATTTCATACTTCAACCGAACACACTTTTTACACACTGCAATGTTTTCACTAAGCCGATGAGTTAATCTAGAATTTCCATAACGATAATCCCATAAGATTGATTTTAGCCATTGGCTCGGTAACCCCAAACAAAAAAACTGATCATAGTTAAGCAATAAATATGAAGTAAAAATTAATAAAATGAATTCGATTACTATGAAAAAGCTAATTTGAGCATTGTTTTATTTGGGTCAAGAGATGCTCTAAATACATAATTAAACTCAATGGGTTGCTCGGTACAGCAAGCGCCGTGAAAAGCGTGAAAAGAAGCGAAATACAACAAGTAAAATAAAAAATTGATATGTTACCCATTCGTATCTGGAGATGGGCATGTATCTGTGAGAGCCGCACTCAGGCCGGTTAAGGGTTGCAAGTGACAGAGAGAGAGAGATAGAGAGAGAGAGAGAGGCTGCCACAACGTATCTTCTAAGCCCGGGCGCATCGTACCAAAAATTGGGGCTGTGCACTTGAAGGGAGCTGCAGCAGAAGTAGGTTCTTCTATGCTTCCTCTATATGCTTCATCTACCTACCTACCTAAAGCGTATGCTCTCTCATACTCACACACTTAATCATGCTGCGTCTCGCTCGCTCTTGCTGTATGGCCATCTCGCCTGTGGATGCTGTGCGCTGCCCCTGATTTGCGCTGCAGTTTTGTGGATGCTGTTCAGCTAGGAGCTGCGTCCTATGTATAGGCTTATATGTATACCAAATATATAGCAACTGATTACCCGGGACTTGAACCACGCCCTGGCCAACAGAGCTGCCCGAAAACTAGGTTAGCACTGCTGTTCGTTCTTTCTATACTTATATTTATTTACCTAATACAAATTTTTCTCCTTTTTTTTTGACTTTTTACTGCATTACAAATACGCAAGCTACGGCTTTGCCATGGTGCCCGGGGCGGCTTCTGCTGGACAGGACGAACGTCTCCCCCTCCACTCGGTTGTTTAATTCAATTAACGTTTTATTTGGGGTACGTCAACACACACAGGCACACAGCGAGCTGGCTGCAGCTTGACCAATGCATATGCCCCCTGTCCACACATAGACTCGCACCTACACCCACGCCATCCGCAACCACATGGGCCGCCCCAGCCGCCACACGCATGGCAACATTAATTGTGGGCGCGCCTCCTTGCAATTAGATACAAAAGTAAAGTTTACACAAAATGCACCCTGTTTGGCGGCAAACTTAAGCCACGAGGTGAATGTCCTTTGGCCGATTTTTCACGCATGCGCCCTGCAAATTCCAGGCACATCCCGTGCCACATTCAGAGCCGCATCTAGAGCCACAGCCACAGCTACAGCCACAGCCACAGCCACAGCCAAAGCCCCAGCGAGCGAGTAGGCGCAGCAGCAGCAGCTGGCCCGCTCCGGCTCTCATCTCCTTGCTCTGTCGCACCTCCGCAGCACTTGTGTGTCGTCTATAGCAGCATGCTCTTTACCTGTACTTGTGTGTGTGTGTGTGTGTGCGTGTGCGTGTGCGTCTGTTTGTATGTATTTAAATCCGTGCATAAGAAGACGCATAGGCACGCACAAACAGAAGCCTTTTATGGTCCATAATCTTGGCAGTCGAGTGTGTCAACACCACAATACACAGGTCCTTGCTGCACACCCAAAAGTGGGCGTATCTCAGCGCCCACTCAAGAAACGGACTCCACTCGTATGTTCAATCAAGATATTTACAAGCCTTAGCAACTCCTCTGGCTTATCAAAATCAGTTCTTTAATTTGTATTCTGTAAAAAGTTACACGACGTCGTCTATGTAGACACCTTGATGTATTCTGCATATGTCTGACTGATTGACTGATTGACCGACTGATTAACTGGTTAACAGAGCTGATTGCTGCCTCCTGACTGATTGAGTGACTAACCTACTGATTGATTGATGTACTTACTGCTTGATTCAGTTCAGAATATATAATTATATTGACTGACTGATTGACTGATTGACCGACTGATTAACTAGTTAACAGAGCTGCTTACTGCCTCTTACTTCCTGACTGAGTGACACTCTGATTGGCTGACTGACTAACCTGCTGATTGATTGATGTACTCACTGCTTGATTCAGTTCAGAATGTATAGCAGATTGATTGACCCTCTGACTGACTGATTGTCAACGATTAATTAGCAATCAGAAAGGCTGATTAACTGATTGATTGACTCTCTGACTGATTGATTGATTCACGTACTAACTGATTGACTCTCTGATTGACTTTTTGATGGACCCTCTGATTGACTAATGGTTCTCCCATTTAGTGACTGATTGACATACAATTAGTTGAATAACTGAATGATTATCTCAATGATTAATATATATTGGTAAGCATTGACTGACTGTAGACTGATTAGCCGATTCAAGCACTTATAGATTGTTTCCGGTGTTGACCGAAAACCTATTTTGCCGTCTGACTGATAGACTAGTTGATAGTGAGGTGAGTTGACTGACTCCTGTTAGTCAAACTAACTAATTCATTGTCTGATTATCTATCAGCCTGATTGGCTATTAACTTCAGGACTATAATTTGCTGTCCAAAAATAATTGAAAATAGTCTGATTGACTTTCCAATTTAGTTCAATGCAATTTAAGTTGGCACCAATTTTCAAAGTTCCAATATTGCTTAACAAATAATGTCAATTTTCATATAAAAAAATAATAATAATGTCTTCAGAAATGGCACTGTAAATTGGTAAGGAATATACGAGATTGGCATATAAGACATGCAAATGTGTGTATGCATGTGTGTCTGTAAAAACGCGTTCAATAAGGCACTTTTGGCCAAGTTAACCCACAAAGCCGAGCGCAACTTAGTTAATTATGCAATCTGTCGCATTCGGTGGCGGCGGTTGCCTAAGCCTCACGTGCTACTGTTCCAGACAGTCGCCAGTGTTCAGTTCAGTCAATCATCATCTTGTTTTTATATTCATTCCATTTTGTCTGTGGCTTCGTAGCGTAGCGAATGTCGTGTGCAGCAGAGACAGCGTGACTACGAAAAAGGCAACCGCGAGCAGCAGCAGCAGCGGCAGTAGCAGTGAATGCGAATATCGTAAATGCTTACGATATACATAAAAAGCGTCACGTCGCAATGTAAACGCCGACAGCGACGTGGCTGCCGCTGCGACGCATATTGGACGAACCGTGTGAACGCTGCCTCAACGCGACGCCGACGCCGACGCAAGCAGAGCACTTTTTCGTTGTTTGGTCTCGTGTGCGTTCTACGTTTTGAGTTGTTAGTTGCGTTCGAACTCAGTCATAAACGAACTGTTACGAGTGATGGAAGAGTCAATACGCTGCCTGCAAGCAACAAACCAACGCAAGCAACAAATACACCAACAACAACAGCAACAACCACAACAACAACAACAGCAACAAATTCAAACGCAATCGGAAACTGTTTTAGAATCGAGCCAAGTCTTAGTTTAATTCGCTTGACTAGTCACACACTTTGAATACCTGTACTAATTGTTGCTATTGTTGTCGCTGTAGACATTATTGTCACTGCTGTTGTTGTTGCAATTTGTTGTTGCACAGACGCAGCTGGCAATCATCGTATTTTTTTTTGTCGTTTTAATTGTGCTCATTTTTTTTCCAAGCAGTGCTAAACTAAACTATTTTTTGTAAGAGTTGTTAGCTTTCATACCAACGGCAACAATAAGAATTGTTACAATAATCTAAGTAAATAAAAACAAAACCAAAATTAACAAAATACAAGTGAAAGGCAACAACAGCTTGTTTGCACGTCGTCCCTTTAGTGTTTGTGTTTCTGTCTCACTGTGTGTCTGTGTGTGTGTGTGCTCGCGTGCACTCCTTCCGTTTCCGGCAATCGCAACAAATTTTTGCCTAAGCCAGTCGAACAGAGCAACAGACAGAGCAACAACAACAGCAGCGACAAACGCGCGCGCAACAATCAAACGCCCACGCACACGTCCGCCTCGTGCCAATCAGCCCCTGCAACGTGCCCGTCTGCCCCCACAACGCCAGCAGGACGAAGTCGTGACAGCGACATGCGAAACGCGTAACAAAACAAAATATAACACAAATACGCAACTGCCAATCCATGATAAAGTGGATGCAGACCGAGCAGTGCTAGAGGCAGGCCTGTGACCAAGAGGAAGCCCAAAAAGTAAGTCCTTCAGCATGATTTATTCTAATCGATAAGTTTAATTAGCCAATGTACCGATAAGTCAGTATGATGATCAGAGATGCAGAGCTGGGATGGGCAGACGGCTTTTGGCTTGCTCGAACGTACTTTTATATCGATATCGATAACGATAACAGGAATTAAAAGCTCTGGATAGGAGCTCAAAAATTATATATATATTATAGTCAAGCAGTTGCTTGGTAGAAATTAACAATAAATGTGCTTAACTTGTATTAATCGATAACAACTTATCGATAAAGAAATAATCCTTAATCCCTACTCAAAAGACAATGGCAATAATCTCCAAAAAAAAAGCAATCAAAACTGTGGTCACCTTCTCGTGTTACCTTCAGAGCACACAAAACGTGTTCAGATACATATATACACACACACATATATATATATATATTTATATATATATGTGTATATGTACGTATAACTATCGTACATATAGACACGTATTTGTTTTCACATTTCTTGGTCTTCCATTAGAAAGACATTGGAATGTCCACTTGGTACGTGTGTGTGTGCGTGTGTGTGTGCGTGTGTGTGTGCGTGTGTGTGTGTGTCTTTCGCTTAGCCACCTCCGAAACCCATACAAGTGCCACAGCGAAAACTATAGAGACAAAAGACACATATCGCGCTGGCGAATGTTACGAGTCAATTGCAAGATGGAATGATGAAAATGGAATCGTTAACCGCAGCGCTGACAACGTGTTGGTAACACGGATAAAAGTTAATGGGCCACACACAGCTGCAGACACAGAACTGGGTCACAATGATCCGTGTCTTACGACTCGCTAATGAGCGTTCAGTGTTGTAAAACGTTAGCAGTTTTTGGGTTTCTTCAGTAGGCACAAAGCAGTTTCGCCTTATAGCTGTTGCTTTTGAGTGTAGTAAAATGTTCCCCAAGGGAAAGTAAAGCCTAAGCAATACTAGATCACGTCACTCGATCGCTGCAGTGCACTGAGATCCACAAAGTTTTATACTCTTAGCATTACGTACCCAACTATATCAATAAAACCGCTTAGCAAACACATTGCGATTTAGCTATCGTCGATTTGTGTTATACATTTCTGCGCCTTTCTGCTTCATTCCACAAATTCCCGATTTATGACATTTCGAAAACATTTATTTTTGGAATATTTTGAGCGTTTCACAAAATGCATTGTTAACATGCGAGGGTTGAAAGAGCCATAGCTCGCTAATGGTGGTGTGTTTTGCACTGACCCCTTGTGGGTGGTTGCTCTGCATTAAGCATGGAGCGCTAGGACTATTAGATAGTGGAGCATAGCTGACTGCCTAATACCCTGCAGCTACAGCTTATGCCTGATTCAAAGAGTTGGCTGAGGAGAGAGCTGAGAGCTGAGAGCTGAAACTTGACAGTGGATCACGCTTAGTAGCAGTCACCTAACTAGACGGGTATTGCTGATGACCAATATACTCGCGCTTACTTTCGCTGAGCCGTGCAGTGATAGGGGATAGGGCATATCTGCATATTCAGTGGGCGAGTGTATTGGACTAATGAGACGGCGACCTCGCCCACAGAGTGCATGTGGAACAGACCAAAAAGGGGGTGGCTGCAACCCTCTGTGCGGCGAGGCTGACCAAAGAAACGCGCCAGGAAAAAAAGCACAAAAAACCAAACCAAATCTCACAACTAAACCACCTAGAACCACCGACCCCACCCAACGACAGACGTCAGCTGTGGATCACTCACAGAAATGCTTGAAAAATTGTTGATGTTTTGTTTTGTTTTTGTTTTTGTTTTTGTTTCGGCTTATAAGGTCACCCTATTTTCCCATGCTTTGCTTTGCTGTGAATACCCTGTTGCTGGGCAAGTGTGCATGGTGTATATGCATGCCAAGCACTAAGCTCTACGCTCTATAGGGTGCGAAAGAGCATTAAGAGCTAAGCTCATGATCGCTTTACGACTAGAAAAGAAGAGTCAAGTTTTTTACAGGGTATTTAAGAGAGGGAGAGCGAGTATCTTGAAGTCTAGCATTCTCAGCTGTCAGCTCTGCTAGATTTATTGTACAGGGTGTTTCCGTCTTGCATTTAAGCTGCAAAATGTGTCCATCTGCTGCATAGTTGCACTCAGTCTCATTTCCATTTCCATTCCCAGTCTCATTCCCATTCCCATTTCCATTCTGAGTTCCAATTTGGTATTCGTTGGCAGCTATTTTATACAATTGCATTTCCGGTTCCCAATGTGGGCGCCGTCTCTCCAATGCTCGCATAGATCTGCATCTGCAAAGCAAAACAAAACGAAGAAAAATAAAAAACAAACAAAAAAAAAATGAAAAATAAAAAATGTATCTTTTTTTAAATGCTCCGATCCGCAAGTCTGCGATGCATGTGGGTGCGGTTTGTGTCTGTCTGTCGCTTGTTTCTAATCTGTCATCGGACACTTTTGTGCGACTGTCCTACAACAACAACAAATAACAACAATTACAACAATAATAAAAGCACGCGGCGTTGATCGAGCCCGGCCACAAGATGTGCATTGGAGCCCAAGGGGGCCGCTCTTTTGTTTGGGCCTAATCGAAAGCGTTTTATAATGCTGCCACATGTGGCAACCAGCAAGCATTTGGAGGCGCTAATCTTGCCCACATCAATGCAAACGAAAATTAACAAGCGAACGCTACTTGGCAGTCCGACTCGATTCCGATTCTCTATATAGTTTGACCATAACTGGGCAGTGGCTGTTGCCACAGTCGTTAGCCATCAAATGTTAATGGCATTAAGCAAGCTTTCGTACTTGGGCGACTGTGTTGGTGTTCATGCTGAAACAGCCAACGCGGCGGGGCGACAATTCTCTAAAAAGGGGGCCAGCTGGGGAGGGGCCAACAGCGACAAAAACAACATCTAGAAACTGCATTAGGCCTCACTTGGAAATGGCCATGGAACTGCAGCTAAAAGCGATTGGGCCAACATCGTGGAAGCGACGTTTTATGTTTGCCGCGTCGCTGCATTTTTGCGGTTTAGGTTGCATGCAGGCCATCGCGTTAATGGTCAGCGCACATTCTGAATGCCTAAGGGCCAGGGCACACATAGAGATAGTCGACAGCTCCGCTGTACCTAGCAAGCCGACAACTGCGCTGCGCTTAGCTACAACCCACTCAACATTCAGAATTTGTTCTAAGCTGAAATTGTTGTTTAATACAAATTCTAGTAAATCTTATATTTAATTCGATTTAAATACTTTTTAATAGATTTTTATACATAAATTGATTTAAAGTATCTGTAGGCTATACAAATTTTGTTGTATATTGTAAAAGATACTCAATCAAAGCACAAGATACGCATTTATATACTAAGATACAAATGTATCTGGTGCGTAGTGTGAATGTATACACTCTTGTGTAATAGATAATCTTAGATATCAGATACAAATGTATCTCATGCATAAGACTAGAAGCATTGTAGATATCAGATACAAATGTATCTCATGCATATGCCTGGAAGTATCTTGGATATCAGATACAAATGTATCTCATGCATAAGACTAAAAGCACTTAAGATATCAGATATATATATCTCATGCATAATTCTCGATGTATCTTGGATATCAGATACAGATGTATCTAATGCATAATACTAGGTGCATCTTAGATAGAAGTGTCTTAGGTAGATATCAGATATAAATGTATATCACACATAATAAAGAATGTATTTTAGATACAAATTATCTCATGCAAAAGACTGAAAGTTTCTTAGATAAAAGTTACAAATGGGTTTCAGTCACAATAGTCGATGTATCTTAAATATAAGATGTATCTAAAACGTATCTAAGAGACAGTTTCATATCAAATACAGAAATATTTATACATAAATGTATATATATTCATGATGATATATTTGATACGTAACTTCGATGCATTTGCATCCAAAATAAGAATACATCTAAGATAGATTATATTGTTTATATTGTGTATGTTATAAACATCAATGCATCAGATACATTTGTATCTCGTACTCATTGCTGTCGGAATCCTCAATATACTTGAGACATAATTCCACTCGAAGCGAAGATTATGGAACAAGTGCGAAGTTAGAGAATGAAGCTGCCATTTCGAGATACTTTGTGATACTTGACGCTAGGAAAAGCTGTGTGAATGCCTTATCTTGATTTTCTTATGCTTGGCGCAACGTTTTGTTTTCGCTTAGCACTGTTTGTTTTCGTATGCATTCTCCAAGCGTTACGCTGGCAATTTTCTGCTGGGTGCGTTTCGTATGCTCAACGCAGCTGGCCAAAAAAGCTGAAATGGCACACGACCTCGCCTCAAAAGCCAATTCAATGTACGAGCTACTCGATTAAAATATGTGCAGCTAGGCGTTAGCTGGATGCACTTGCACAGCAGATATGCCACACGCGGCTCCAACCGGCCGAATGGGATCGTGGGCGTGCTGCCTTTATTTTTGGCCAGCAGCCAGCAGCCAGCACCCAGCCGCAGAGTGTGGCAGCTGATTAACTATAACAAATGATGCAGCATACACATATGTATGTAATTATATATATTATATGATTTTCATATTTGGCTGGCGCAAGCTCGCCTCGTCTACAGGGCGTCTGACCCTCATCAATCTGTCAAGAACGCTGAAAGGCAACTTGATTTTTATTCGATTTATGTTGCTGGCAGATATCTTGCCATAGCCCAGCCTCAACGCCCCGACCATGCTTGCTGGCCCAGATGGTCACTAGATCGTGCGTGCTTTTGGCTAATGGAATTTCCACTTGTTCGATCTAGTTATCATTTCAAGGGCAGACACTATTATACCCTGGTCGCATTTCAAGTGAATGGGCGGAGTATAATGAGTGCTTCATAGACCAAATCGATATAAAAATGTTCGGCAAACAAAGCTTATTTCCTATCCTCTAGTCGATCACTCCCAACTAGAGCTAAGAAATGTGAAAAAATAGTAAAATCGAGTACGCTTTCATTGTTTATAATAATTTTTAATATTGTTTCTCGTTCCAGAACGACCAATTTGCTAACAAAAAGTCTTAAAATTAAACTGCTGCAAACCGAATGACTGATTTTTCTGAACCTTTAATACTTACCTCCTAACGAACTTTATATCAATCTTATCAATCGACGTAACTGCGAAAGTCTCGCAGCAAATACATATTTACATCATAGTTACTTAGGGCTACACGCGGAACAAACTAGATAGAAGTAGTTATAACTTTGACTATTCGAAGAGAAGACGGACATCGATTGATCGTGAGGCGAGGAGAGCAGAGAGGAATGCAGCGCTGTCCCTATCTACATGAGATGCGAGAACGTCTATTGGATCAGCCAAGGGAAACACTGCAACTGGAGAACATGGAGCGAGCCAACTTGCTGGACAACCGCCAATCCGCAACCGAGTCGAATCAGGTCGGCACTGTGGTCAAGGTAGGGGCTGTTGGATGTACTCGTTTCAAGGATTCAAATCATATGCAATATATATAACACTCACACACCTACTCACACTCACACTCACACTCACACTCTTAATTACACAGTAAATTTCATTCAACGAACTGTACAATTACTCAGCAGAAGTTCATCTAAGTGACTTGCTTGTAAATATTGCATATGAATTTAAACAACATAACACACTTGCAACTACATATATATATATATACACAGATATATATATAAGCATATATATTTGATATATATATAGATATGAATATCTATTGTAAATTGCCTTTTAGTTATATGTATATGAAATGTTTACATTAATCCGTTTTTGTTTGAGCTTTCCAATTATAGAAAAGTTCAGTTTACCATGTGAAATAAAATGCCCATTGATTGATTGATTGACCGATTGATTGATTTATTGACAACTCCAAAGTGTGACAAGTTAAAAGCGATAAAAAAAATGCAAATCAAAACTTATATCAAATTTAACCAAATCCTTGCACGAGTAACGGAACGATTCGCCCTTTACTTTAAGTTTTCAAATATTAAACAAACAAATAAATATATATATATATATATAATACATATGTACATATATATATATATATTTATGTACATTATTAAAATCGATTTTAATTTCTCTGGCAATAAATTGGAATTCTCTTGAAATTGCTTTTCCTTTCCTAATTGACATGGAAATGCATGCACTCCAATTATAAATAGCTAATTATCTAAGCAGTCTGAGCGCGTCATTCACAATGAGAGATGGATGCGCCATTGTGAGTGAGGCAATCTATGCTGACATCATATCTGTGCTTAACTGTTTCGCTGTACAAATTCCAATTTATTGTTGTGGCTTTTTTTTGACACTTAACTTCGAAATGGAAAAGTCTAATCTCAATATTCGTTTTGCAACACAAAAAAAAAAAACAACAAAAACTTATTCAAAAATACAGCTACAAGGCGATGGATATCACACGAGCCCCGCCCACCAGCGGACTCCGCTAGTGCCCCACGATTTGGGAGAGGATTTCAATTTGGATTTCGATGACGACTTTCCGATCGATGCCCGACGACCAAAAAACGCCAAGTAAGTGTGTTCCACTCAGACACTCGATCTAAACATAGATATATATAAACATATAGACTTGTGCAATATCCGAGCTCCTATTGCTGCCCCACTCTGTGCTAAATGTGTTTCATATTATTTAACCGATAACATATAACACACTCTGTTTACATTCATCATTCATAACGCTACTCATCTAATATGTATCTCTGCTCATATTTGTTTTTTCATTTGATTTCCAATTGTCACTTGAGGCTCGCTCATCTCATTCGTTCATTCATTCATTGAGAGGCAGTGTAGACCCTATTGTCTTGTACCTTCTTAAGTACTCGTAGTCCTCAATCAATCAATCATTTAACTAATGCGCAAGAATCCTTTGCAGCGGCAATCATCCCCAGGTTCTGACGAAACCACAGAAAAGGTCAGATTTGGTATACAAAATTAAGCAAAACAAATCATAAATTTCCATAAGATATATTTTTAATTAAAACTACCTAACTACTTTTAGTTTCTATCAAGCTCTAAAATCCTAACTCCAACTCAATCTTCTAGCCAAGTATTTTATTTTGTTTTTACCCACACACTTAGCTATGCATAGATCTATTGTTGCATTGTGTTACCCATAGAAAGCACTTGAACTAACATTGGAAACCAGCTAATCACTAGAGATAGATTCCTAAAGTATAATCTATATATACACTTTTATATATATGCTCAACCTCTCAGCCGCATTAGCAAATGTTGCGAGCTGTCAAATATCATGGTTGGCTGAATTGTCATCTGCCTGTTCGCTGACAATCCGACCGATTATAATGTCAATGAACTAATGCCACACAACAGGCGCATTGCCTTACATTTCCGATTATGTCGGCATTGTTGAGCAGCATGAATTCGCTCTCTGTCAAACTTCGTCTCGCCGCTCGAAAAGACAAAAAGTCGGCGTTTTGGATGACAGAAATACGTATAGAATTGTTAACACAATGCCGGGCTGCATGTAAGTTGAAGAAGTTGCAAACAAATTACGCAACTTGACAACTGCCAGAGCAGGCAACCCGCCAAGCCCCGAGGAATCTGTGCCAACTGTGCTCGGGCCTAAGCTGTCGGCGAAGCATGCCAAGATCTGTGCTCCACTGCTCCACTGCTGACTTGGCCACGCCTCTCCGCCCCACCCCTTTGGTGGCATGCAGAATGCCTTCATGTTGGGTGTCATTGTACGGCATCTGCTTGGGGCATGTCGCTTAAAACTATCGATACTTAGGCGGGGCATTTTGAGTGTTAACTTCATCAAGTACAACAGCAGCTGAGACAAGTTGTTGAACAAAACTTGTAGTTGATAAACGAGGCTATAAAATGGTTATTCAGCTCCCTTGACCACCAGCTGCTGCTTCAGCTCTGACACTATCAATTAGCATTGATCGAGTGGGAAATTGATTGTTAGCTATGCAGCTATGCAGCATTTTAGCTTCCTCGACTGAACAAGTATCAATGGACACTAATCGATTTTTATCGATAGCAAAGATCTTCTCCATTCATGCAATGATTAGCCTGTTATGTGACTACAGGCTTTACACCCATTATTTGGTTTGGTCAGCTGATATTTGAATATTATCGATTGACATTAATCGATTTTTATCGATAGCCAAGTTCTATTCCATTCATTCAATGATTCAACTGTTATACAATGGCTTGCTTTGCAGCTGACAGCTTAGTTTCCTCGCCTCAGGAAGTAACGATGATCAATAATCGATTTTTATCGATAACAAAGATCTTCTGCAATCATTCAGTGACTAACATGTTGTGCAACTACAGACTTGGCAGCTATTATTTTGGTTCCCTCAACAAATTTGTACACTATCGATTGACATTAATCGATTTGTATCGATAGCAAAGTTGTCTTCAATTATTGGTCTGCTGTCGAGAATTATGTAAACAGTTAAGCCCTGCTATACTTCTTTTACAGCTTCTTTTAGTTTATTCTCTGAGCAACTTCATTGATTAACCATAATCGATAACGATTTTAGCACACCTCTAATATTGGTATCAATTTATTCATCATGATTTTGTGCTCCAGCCTTGTCCCAATTCTCCATTAGTCGCTGGACTATTTCTAGCTGCTCAGCCCCTAGGCAAATGCGATGCATGATTAGATAAATGCGCACAAGGTTAACGATTCCACCTTCAATTAGGCAAGGCTTTTGCCATTAAGCAACTCACCTGTTGGTCCCTTTTGCCTTTTTTAAATAGTACTCCTGATGGGCGCTGATAGCTTTCCAGCCTAGACGCCTAGTCAATGGGGTAGCAAAACCCAGAAGCTATAAATAACATCGGCGAACAGCCCTCAGAAGCCACCCCAGCTCGTGGCTTCTGCTGCTGACACAACATATGCTCATTGTCATCGGCGGCCTTTTATGAGAATGAGCTAAAAAAAGAAACATGAAAATGGAGTCAATTTTTAGCTCTACGCGTACTACGCGTAACTAGACCACACCCGGAATTCTGACACAATTTGTTCACGCTTGATGTGATGCCTTGATAAAAAAGGGTTATGCTCAAGGATATTAGGAATGCGTTTAGATTAGCTATAAAAGATAGCTACGCATAGGTCGAAATGTTCTCTGATAATTAATTGAAACATAATATTAATTAACAATATTGACATGGTCGTAGCGTCCCATCTAGGAAACTCTAGGAATGCTTCACATCTTCAAATGTAAATCTTGACCTCATATAATATAATTATATAGCTTCAGATCCACAATAGACGATTTATGAGTATGTTATAAGTGTTTGGCGCTCTAGTGTTGTGTGACATTGAGAGCTCGTAGGCATTGACCCTAAGGACTCGAACAACTTGAGTGATCCAGCGCTCGTCATGCCCGCCCTATAGATTAGCATTTAACCTCTTGTTGTGCTGTAGGATTAGGCAGCCGTGCTCCATTTTTATCGGCTTAAGCCTAAGGCTGGACTATGTGTGGTTGTTGAGATGTCCGTCGCCCTCCTTCTTCTGATAGCTAACAGCTCCCAGCTCCCAGCTTGTGCCATTCAGTGCGCTGCGACGCAGTTGTTCGCGACGCGACGCAAATCCTTTCCTGCCTTTCGGCCAAATGCAACCCCTTGGCGAGCGACATGCCCTGCAGTAAGCGGACTCGGCTTATCGCTTGGGCACACCCCACGAGCAGCAGGACCTGGCTGCCGGCTCGCGCCACTGCGAACCGCCAAGCAAAACAGAATGCGATGTTGCTTGTTGTGAAAAGTGCACAAAACAAAACTACGCAAAACACACACGAATTGCCAAATACGAACACGAAGCGACAGCCCGACCAATATTTACGATATTCGCTGCTTCGTCGTCGAACAGCGAAAGGAACTGCATGCAGTCGTATAGACGACGACGTCGCTGCTGCGTATACCGTAAGCCCCGCACAGTGGAGCAAATCCGATGCTTGACTGTTGTTGGCAAGCCATCAACCAAGAGATCTGGAATCAGTTTGTTGCTGATCATCAATAAGATTGAAGTGCCTTAAGAAATTTACATATATATATATAAATTTATATAAAGAAACTCAATTAAAACTCCTTAGTCAGTGACATACACTAGATTTATCACCACTCTATATAATATTTAAGCTCTTGTGCTGTTTTCAATCTGCCTTAACTAGTTTCTGTGACTTACTCGTCCCACCTCTATGAAGTAAATATCATTTAGTCTTCAAGTTTTGTTCATTTCATTCATTGATATTTTGCCTAAGTTTTAAGTTAGCTCAACCACTGTGCTTACTTTTAAGGCACACAAACACCACACACACACATACACACACACACACACACATACACACACACACACACACATACACACACACACACACAGAGCAGACATAGGCACAGACGGCCAAGCCCGCGGCCAACGTTCGTAATTGAGTTTTGGGCTGTTGCTTTTAGTTAACTGACAGCCCGCCTTTTGCTATTCCCTGTTCCCTTTGATTCTCTGATTCGCCTCTGCTGGGGACTGCACTTTGGAATTGCATAGTCAGCCCAGTGGCTTGGAGAGGGGGGCGGGTGGGGGTAACTCACCCTCGTTACGCTTGGCATGCTCCTTGCAACATGGTAAAATAAATTAAATATGTTTTTGCATGCCCAACACGAGTGACCTGCTTTCTAGTGCAGAGCAGCTAAATGAAGACTGAGTTTTAGATACCAAAGTCAATTTGTATAGCTAAGATGGGAGAAGATCAGATCAAAGTACAATTGGACTGAGAGGCTGTGCATCTAAAGCCGTTGCCGTAAGTCGTCAATTCATAATTTCCATGAACAAGCAAATGGCAAAAAGCGTGCAAGGAGGCCCGAGCGATAAGCCACTGAACCACTCAGGCGGGCAGCGAGCACCGACAACAGTCAAGAGCCATCCTGCACCCAACACCCAACACCCAACATCCACCCAGCGTCCAAGCAGCAAATCCGAAATGTAAACGCAACTAAAACGATTTTGAGCTATGGCAACAAGCTGGGCAAGTGGGCTCCGAGGCTCTAAGAAATCGGAGCCAAACAAGTCATTAACATTCCAATCAGAAAACAAGAATAATGAAAAGAAGGGAAATAATAAGCGAAAAAAGAAAGAAATTGAAATGCAAATAAAGCGCACTATGAATGGCCAGCCCGACTGAGAGAAAGCGGGACAGAGGTAGAGAGCGAGAGAGGGAGAGCGAGAAAGAGACAGAGACAGAGAGAGAGACGTAGAGGGATGCTAAAAGGCAAGAGGTAAACGGCAAAAGCCATACAAAAAAGAGTACAAAACTCGCACACACTCACACACACACACACACACACACACACACCCAATGTGTCCTACTTTTTGGCATTCGACTTGACGTTTCCCCAACATGCCGCGAAAGGCTTCCACAGCATTCATGCTGGCCCTGCATCCTACAAAGAGCGAGAGCAAGAGAGCACGCAGCGCTGCAGCCAGGCGGCGCGAACGGGATGGCCAGCGGCAGACAGAGATGGAGATAGTGAGTACACCGAGGTACGAGCGGGCAACACAGATTCGGCGCACAGGGGCGGCTGCTGCAGAGGCACAGACACAGAAAACACAGGAACTTAGGCCGAGACGAGCCTTTTCAGTTGTAGTTGGATAGTAAAGGGTCCTGGACGTGTTGTGTTCAGCGTTCGCAAGGTACCAGACACAGGACACACAGTCCAAAGTGTAAAAGTCACAGATTCACAATCTAGTCTGCCAATACATATTTGTTATATACATAACGTTAACTTCAGTTTGTTACATCTGTTATTTTTTTTTTTTTTAATGAGCTGTGTTAAAAATTGTTGTACCAAAAGTGCCGAGACAAAAGAACAAAAAAGAGTTGTTAAAGTTAAAGTGTTGCTTGTTAGAGCGAAATGCTAAATTAACAGTCAGATGAAACAGCTAACAGAGAACAGCTCAAACGAAGTTAATACGAATTGAGCGAATGAAATTATTTTTTGTGATTTTGCAACAAACGCGAAAAGCTCTTGAAACAATTTGCTGTGCTGTCTTGGGCGCGCTAAAGATTTTGCTGTTGAAAGTCTCTCCTGGTTTCGATAGCACCGGGCAGCTATATACACAACACACATGTACACACGCACACACACACACACACAGACACACAGCATAAACAGCGCTGGCTGTGAGAGCGAGTGCGCAAATTTACTCTTCAAGTTATGCGAGCTCCAGCCACAGCTTCAGCTCGAGCAAAAAGTTAACTGTATGCAATACATACCTCTCTATATGCGTGTGTATATACCTAGCTGTGCAACGCATACACACACACATACACACAGACACACAGAGCAGCAGCTCCAATTGAGTCTAAGTTAATCTCACGCATTTAGTTTCCCCTCTCGCAGCGGCATGCCACAGCGAGGGTTGAATTCGCTGGCTGAGTTGTTTACTAGCGTTGGCTGCGTAGAAGAGAGGTCACTAGGTCGCTCCGGGACGCATTCCAAAGCACCAACAGCTGCAACAACAACAACAGCAGCAACAAGAGCCGCAGTAATGCTCCAAGTGCGGCTTAAGTTTTTGAGCAAGGCTCGCGCACTTTTGGCCACGCCTCAGCTGCCCATTTGACAAATGCATTTCAAATGCGTTCCACAAAATATCAACCAGCACAACACACACACACACACGTAGACACGCGCGCAGAGAGAGACAGCGAGAGAGCGCGAAACAAACAACAAAAGAAGTGTTGCATACTTTTGTGCTTTGCCTGCAACAGCATCTGCAAATTGTTTCATTAATATTTCACGCTACAGCGAAACAACAGCGGAGTGTGCCAAGTGATAAAGAAAGACACAAAGCGGCCAAATAAACAAGTGAATAAAAAGAAACGGAAACCTCGATATCGGCATCGATATCAACTGAGTGTACAACCAGGATCAGTAGTCAGCCACAACGGAGACCGAGACGGAAACGGAGACTATGGGCGGCGGTGAAGTGAAGGTCGCTACCGTCGACGTGGAGGGCGGCGACAATATGGCCACGCTGCCGGTCTCACGCTCCCACACCGCCGGCAGCACCGACAGCGCCGAGAAGAACAATGCGGCCAACAAGGAAATGGAGTTGAAGAATGTTATGCCGCAGCCGTTGCAAAGGTGCGCAGCCTGGGTGACAAGCAGAGACAGAGACAGAGAGAGTAATGACAGAGAGAGAGAGAGAGAGGGATAGAGCGAAGCCGAAAGAGAGCTGCGGCTTAGCAAGAGAGCGCTTAATAGCAGTGGGGGCGAGGGGCAGCTCTCTGTAGTGGGTGGGCGATGTAAGGTTCTCAAGGCCGCCGAAAGTGCCAGGCCCTCTGTTATGTAGACACACACCAGCACACACACACACACACACACATACACATCTATGTTTCACGTAGAAGAGCTAGATACACACACCAGAAAACCAAAATATCCAGTATATATATATATATATATATGTTGTAGCACATCAAGCTGTATATATACTACAAATGCTTCTATATGTATTTACGATTAGTTACTAACAATGCAAGCTTAAAGGCACTGCAAATCCCGCTCCTGAACCACAACGATCCACAACAAAAAATTCCACGCTCTGAATATCGTAGATCCCGTTTTGTAGCCAATTTTAATGAATAATTTCTGCAACATTTGCCAATTGCCAATTGCCAATTGTCGTCTTATAGGGTTTGCTACACGTTCAAGCCAAATCCAAATAAGCACAGTTTTATGCCAGCGAAAATAACGGTGCTGGGCACATATGAAACAAATCCGATAACGGGACCCATCGAACTATGGTAATATACAAACACACACATACCGACACCGCCCCGCCCCCCCCCACAACACCCCATTCAATATGAGCGATACACACTAAACTGATATATGTTCACATATATATATCTATATCTATATATATATATATATATATATGTGTGTGCACTTAAGGCAAGCTGCCATCATTATACGATTCTAATTGGATATACGATATATATTATTTTTATTTGCGGAAATGAGGCTGTGGATTACGATTACACAGCGCAGTCTGAAATTTGGAGTGGTGCGCGCGGGTGGGTTGCTGGGTTTGATGTTTTTTAACTGGGTCAAAGAGTGCAAATGAGTTACATGCAACACACAGCGCAGCACCGTGGTACGAAACCCGTTTGCAATCTATTCACACTCAGCTCAGCTTACGAGCTCTACAAAACACTCTCGAGTATTAAAAAAAATATGTATTTAGTTGAGCTTTAAGGCGAAATGTTTGTAGCCTATGTAAGTGTGGGTGTCTTTCACTAGTTGTAACCACTGTGCACGCCGAAGGAGCTCGTTAAAATGCCGTTAATTGGCATCGAATATCGACGGCCCTGAGAACAGTTGGCCTGGGAACAGTTGCTGTCCGCCAATAGCTAATTAGGCGTGCATGCGGCTGGGCAATGCACTCGAGCAGTCAAGCATTGCTCTTAAGATGCATGCCACACACACACACACACACACACACACTAGCACAGTATATGACACCAATTATAGCGCCTACTTACTGTAAACTAGGTAATTGCCACTGATACATCAGCAAACACTAACACATAAGCACATGGATGTTCGATTTAGGACTGGGTCACCTACACAGCATATTGTGTAACACACCCACCCACACACACACATATATTTATCGCACACACTTGTAGGAAATGGTTTCATTGTGCTGCCCTTGCATATCTCATTCAATTAATATTACATTCTGTTGGCATTCCGCTTGGCAGGACATCGCTCTTCATTGTGACCAGTTTGGTATACGCGATTCTCTTGATCGTCGTATGCATTGCGTACGTGATCAGCGATGTGACCACACACCGACTGCCGGTGCTCTACTACGAGACGTTCTTCACATACCTGTACGGCACCAGCATACTCTTCCTGTTGTATGTCTTTTGTTTTTTGCTGCAGGGTAAGTGTGCCTGTTGTGTCCTTGCGGCCTATATCCTTGATACGTGAATCCTTGCAGAGAGCTCGTGCTGTAATGGCGGCAATGGCGGCAGCAAACCGAAACCACAAGTCAAAGAAAAGAAGTCGAAGAAAACGAAGAATGCAGATCCGGCCGATTCGAAGGATGCGAAAGGCTCTAAGGACTCTGGAAAGGCTGGCAAAGGCGCCGCATATCAGGTGGGTTAATTACAGCTAACAACGGGCATATATATATAGCATATGGGTCGACAGAGACAAGCGCGCGTCTCAATTGCTAGCGCCTCTCTCTGCAGTTCTCATAGGCATTGCATCAAGGCAAATTCAGTTACGCTTCATATCTGCGATCTCTGATTCATGCCAGGGCCAATGGCCCATATGGAACATGCCACATAACTAGAGTGCATGCCACCTTTGAATGGGGCACATTAACGGCTCGTCGTTAATTATGTGACGACGCTTGCCAAGTGATAAGGCCACATCAATTAAGGCGCACATACGATTTTGTAGCCATCATTATCATCTCCATATATTTACATGTGTGTGTGTGTGTATCTATGTATGATTCTGCGACCCCATGTGCAATAAATTGTGTTCTTGTTTCGTACGCACAGGAAGCACCCGTGGATGCCGAGGTGGCCGTCACCCCGAAGAACGTACGCAAGCGAAAGACCACGCACAGCGATCTCACGCACGGAAGTTTCTTTCTGCGCGTTGGTGCCATCGGTAAAGCATCAGATTTTTTAAAAATATATTCCATATATTCATCTATATATATATATCGTACTATAAACTATGCACTGCTCTTCCATCTTGGTTTCGGTTTACTATTGATTTGTCTTAGCTTTTGGACTGGGCGCCATGATCTATATTGGATTGGAATTTGGTTCGTTCTTCGAGATACCCTTCGATTCGCCCTGCCATCATATTTTGATCGGCGTCAATCCATTGCTCCAGATGATCTTCACCTTTATGCAGATGTACTTTATATTCATGAATGCACGGGTAAGTCAATACACTCCGCACTACTCGAGCAGAATCGAGCTGCCCAAAACCCAAAACTTACTGTCTAAATAAATGAAAACACTGTAAACCTGTTTAGCTTTTAGCTACAGCTAACTAACTACCTAACTACCTACCTACCTACTACTAAATACAATATATACTCTACCTACTATTATCTAATAATACTACTACTGTCGACAGACACGAGTACACACAGAATTATATATATATATAAATCTATATAAAGAAAGTCCCAGTCCATCAACAGTCCAATTGAGGTTAGTTTTAAGTTAAGCTTACGATACACTCGCTGGCCGTGGCCTGGAGACGGCTACTGATAGCAGCAGCTGGATATCATTGGAGCTCAACTCTGACGATAATCCTGATGGCAGTCTTTGGTCATATCCAATGCCATGGTCACGATCACATCACAACGAAAGTCGAGGCTCGGTTCGGTCAATCTTTCCCACCCACCCCTCTCTCTCTCACTCTCTATCTATCTATCTATCTCTCTCTTCCTCTGTCACTCTCTCGCTGTCTCTGTCTAACTCTATATCTATCACTTATTTCACTATGTTTTTCGTCTGTGACGCTCGTTTGAATTGGCGTAACAATTGGCAGTTAGTTGAGTTGAATTTAGTTAATTATATATTTGATTCAAGTATTCATTCGCATTCGCAATCGCAATCGCAATCGCAATCGCATTCATTCGTTCTTATGTACTACATCATTCATCTGTCATTTTTCCTTTATTTGTTTTCGCTTTGCTTCATTCAACAGCAAACTGTGTTAACTGCAACTCACAAATCGTATTCCACTCACATTCGGCCCACAGTCGAATCGCTCATTTAGATCAAAGCCATATCCAGTGTTTTAGCCAGATAAGTTAAGAGTTTAGAAGCTCAGATTCACAGCTGCATCACATTCACCACGATAACACGTACACGCATTCATTCAATCCTAACTCACGCCATATTATCATAATCATCATCATTATCAACATCACCACTGTCATCATTATATTTTTATAAACAAATTTCGAAATTGTGCAAAGTACTTAGTTTTTTAATGAACCATTTTTGTGTACATAATCCCCACAACTCTGCCCCATTCGCGATCGCAGACTAGGCCACCATTTCAGGTACGATATACAACTCATTTTCTAACTCTACTCTACTCTACTCTACTCTACTCTACTCTCTCTATGCCCTACGCTCACTTCTCATATATTTATATGTATATACGTGTGCGTGTGTGCGTGCGTGTGTGCGTGTGTGTGCGTGTGTGACAAGTAAATATAAAAGTAGTTTAAGCTTAATATAACTTACTTTAACAAATATATACATGCTTATGTTGGGAATTATGTTAGTGGATCATATGCCTAGCGATGATACATACTATTGCATAGTAGTCTATATTAAGTTATCGATAAATATCGATCTGTTGCATATGCAAGAGTATTAAAACTTCGTCTCTCCCTCGAAGTTCGCTTTTCTTTTACTTTTTCAGCACTTTCCTTTAAGTTCTTGTATATATATATACACACACATACATATATCTTATTATATATACGCCTTTTCGCCCCCAATCGACTGATCTACTGATTAACTCATTGTCTGACTGACTGATCAACGTACGAGCTGAAAAGCCGATGTTATAGAAATTTCTGTCTATAGTTCAGAAATGTTTCCAATTTTACAGCTTTGTGCATTCCCATTCCTAAAATCACAAACTAATAATCCTAACTTGCCTCAACTTCTGTTATCCATGCTCACTTTAAAGAACCTACTCAGTCAGTCGGGCAATTAGCGAAACCCTAGCGCAACTGACAGACAACGCCGGGTAGCACCGGCTAGCAACCGGTTCCTTTCCGTACTCAAGTCTGCGCCAGCGCATTACTCGCTCTCTCTCTTTCTTTCTCTCTCTCTCTCTCTCTCTCTCTCTCTGTCTGTCTATTTCTCTCTCTGTCTATCTCTGTCCCTGGTCCCGAACGCGGCTCGCTTAACATTTTCCTGATCGTTGTCTCTCAATGCGCATCGCTTGCAGCTCAACATACACCGGTTCAAGGTGATCGCCCGCTTCGGCTTGATGCACGTGGTGGCCACCAACATCTGTGTGTGGATACGCACTCTGGTGAAGGAGTCGCTGCTGGAGATCACCATCTATCATCAGAAGCGCGAAGCCGATCCGGAAGCCTCGTCCATTGCCCATTCGATCAGGCAGCATGCGCTGCGTCATGCTGGCACCGTCCTGCGCACCCATACGGGCCCCAACAGCGAGTTCGAGGTGCTGGACGGTGAGGATGTGCTGCCCAAGAACGTCTACAAGAGCGACAATGTGCTGTCCAAGCTGGTGCGCAACACGGTCGACGGCATCTCGAAGAGTCTGGGCATGGGCGGCGACATTAGCAGCACCACCAGCAGCACCACAACGACAACCACCCGGGCACCGTTCACCACACCCGGCTATCAATGGCACAGCACTACTATGGCCCGCAAGCTGAAGAAGTTTATCACTAGCACCACAGCTGCCACCAGCACCGTCGGCAGCAGCAGCACAAGCACCCCCAGCAGCACCACCACCACCTCCACCACCACCACCACATCAACCACCGGCATACCATTTGGCAGCGCTGCAACAGCCGCCGACGCCTTTAGCACGACCAGCGAAACGCCTTTCAATAGTCTGGAGCGCATCTTCTCCAGCGTCGCCCCCTCTAGCCACGCGCCCGTCGATGTGTCCGCGACAACGTTGCCCGCTGCCACATCTGGCGTCTCCTCGTTCATCAACAATCTGGTCTCCAGCACCGCGCCGAGCCCAACCATGGCCGCCAGCAGCACCGAGAGCGCCGTGAACATTATGAACAATCTGTTTGGCCCCGGCATGGAGAACAGCTTCCAAACGTATTCGGATCTGTCGCACGAGGAGGCCAACGGCTTGATCGCCTTCGAGAATCTGGAGAGCTTGGACAATATATACCCGGCTGCGCTGTCTTCCAACATTGGCACACTCAACTCCACCGCCTGTGGACGCATTGACATTATGGGTACCATCGTCTATGACTCGGCGCCATATCTGTATCCGTTTATCATTGAGTACTCGCTGATCGGCGCTGTCGTTTTGTATGTCATGTGGAAGCACATCGGTCGCTATCCGGGCAGGCTGAACGATGAGGATCTCGAGCATCGGCTCGAGGTGATGCTGTCCCGTCGAGCCGTTGCCATGGCGCAGCAGGCACGTTCCGGACGCGTCGACTGCGTTGGCTCGTCGAAGGGTCTGTTCTTTGGTCTGTTGCTGTTGGTGGGCGCGCTGATTTGCTTGATACTCTTCTTCGTCTTGGTGCGTCATCAGCAGTTCTCGCTGTTGGCCATATACCTGGCCGATGCCAGTCACTGCATTCTAATGGCCTTTGCCATACTGGCCATCATAGTGGGCTTTATCAGGTGCGTAACCGAAGCGAGCTCGGGGTTAATTGAAATAACATACGTACTCCCTCTCTCTCTCTCTCTCCCTCTCTCTCTCTCTCTCTCTCTCTCTGCCTTAGGGTGAAGAACTTGAAGTTCCGCTGCGAGGAACAATCGAATCTGAATGACATTTTGCTGCGCATCTCTGCCTTTGGCCTGTTCACCTATTCCGTGTTCAGCATCATTGCCGGCAGCCTCAAGGTGCTGGAGAGTGAGCCGAGCCTATTGGTGACGACCACAGGCGGCGTTGCCGTCTTCCAGGTCATATTGCAGCTGCTCTTCATAGCCGATGTGTCGCGCCGTCGCGTCCACTTGCCGGAACATGACCGCAGCAAGCCCGGCCGTCAGATTGTCACCTTCTTGCTCATCTGCAACGTGGCCATGTTTGCCATCTACACATTCGAAGCTCAAAAAGTATTCGCCAATCCTGTAAGTAGATATGTACGTAAGCGAGACTGAGTTAAGTAAGACGATTAACGCTCTCGTTCGTTCTACTCGTTCTATTCGTTATGTGTCATTCGATACTGTAGTTGTTGTCGCAAACGTTGTCTTCTTCTGTTTCTGTTGTCAAAATATGTGCAAAATATTAACTGCCCGTTAACTTTAGACGTTCACGTCACAAGATTTTCTATTTCTCTTGCTATTAGCCTCAACAGAAACACAAAAAGCGCGTCTTTGCTGTAATCAGATCTGTTCCAATTAGTTGTATAAATTATTTAAATATATATATATTATTGTGTTCATTTTAACAGCTCTGATTGTATTGCATGTTAGAATATTTTTTTTAAATTTTTTTTGCTATCATTTTAAGCCTCTTTGAGCCTTGAGTGGAGCTTAGTCAGCCAGCAGCTCCAGCCTGCTACACAAAAGTCTAGACTCCATTGACCTATTGGTCTTTGGATCTAGCTGATCATTGGGCTCTTATTGGAACTATTATTTTTCATTTCTGATCTTCAATCAAAGTATTTTGGATGGATTCCATTAATCCATTTGTCTTTAGATCCAGCTGAGCTTTGGCTTCCTTGGCTTCTTACTGTTATCTTTGATCTTCAATCAAAGTTTCTTGGATTATTTCCAGTTGCACATGTCATGGCAGCCAATTAGAAATGATCGCTTGGCTTTGCTTTGCAGTGAGCTAATCTCGCTCTGCTCTTTACTTATTATTATTATTATTAATTTTCTTGTTGCTATGTTAGTCTATAGCTGCATGTTGTTATTGTGGGCAGCTGTGCTTATTTGCCCGACTAATTGAATTCTTTTGCCCTCCAAATATAGGTGCAGTTGGAGTTCTACGGATTTGTGCCCTGGTCGATCATTCAGCGCATTACACTGCCCCTCTGCATTTTCCACCGCTTCCACAGCGCCGTGACACTTGCCGAGATCTGGAAGACCACCTACAAGGCGCGTTTGGAGTAAGCTGCTCTAACTGGACGGCTGTAGGCAAACCCACAAAGAAAGGTTATTAATGCACCAAAAATAAAAACAAAAACAAAAACAAAACAAAACAAAAACAGCAACCAAATAAATATGAAATGAAAATGAAAGTAAGAGAAAAAAATGATAAAATGAAAGAAAGAAAAACAACAAATTATAGCGAACCGAAAACTGCAAGTAAAACATTTAAAGTTAGTTTCTTATTGCATATAATATATATTAAAAACCGAAAGAAAAAACAAAACAAAACATATATGTATATGTATATGTTTTAGTACGCGTGAAGGTTAACTAAGTTCAAAGGTAACCAAAAAAAAAAACCGAAAAAAATACAAAAAAATTAATGTCAAAACAAAATACAGCAACAAATTTACGAGTTGTATCAAAAGTGAGCTAAATCCCAAAGGACGAGATTGGACCATTGTGCGTGGTATACCAAAAAATATAAAAAAGCAAAAAAAAAATGTTTAAACCTTTATTAATGCTAAATACCAAATGGATTAACAACTAGCAACTATCACATAAAAATACAAAACCAAACGAAACAAATACGAACGAGAATTCTTTGAATGAAACTTGACAAAATTGCAAATTGTTGACGAATTGATTTAGGCGTAAAGTAGGAAACATGCTTTGCGAATCGCTTGTTGTTCTATAATTTATCATATATATATATATATATAATTTGTTTTTTTTTTTCATTACTATTACATATTTGTGACATGTGGGCTGCATGGAAAACTTAAGAACTAAGTCATAGCGTTTACATTTTGAATGCATTTCTGCAACAATTCTTGAATTAATTTTGATTTCTTTGCGTTTGCTTTTAGTCAGATGTGAAGCAAAGGGAAATAATATTTATATGTCAGCACATAGTATGTTAATTATTAATTTATGTACATCTATATATATGCATATATTTAATTAACCCCCTCCTGTCTTCCCCTGCCCCTGCCCCTCTCTCGACCAGCATATTTATATTTTACTGTTATTTTTAACTCTGTATTTGAATTTTATCTTTTTGTTTGTTCTTTTGTTATTACATTTCTGCTGCAATAATGTAAAAATAATGCAAACAAAATACATATATATGTAGATATATATACAAAAAGGTTGTTTACTTTTCGCGTTACAATCAACTGCGGTACAGTTGATTCAAAACAAACAAACAAACACACAGAAAAGCTATTGGCCAACTATAGCCAGGTTGAGTTTTTGGTATGCCCCGAAGTGCGTTTTGCTTGTGAGCATTTTGAAATTTATGAAACACTTTTTGTGCGGGCTCTACGATTTCTTCTTTAATCGCAAAACAAAGCCGAGGACAGAACAACAACAACAACAACAACAAACTGTGATGAATATTGTTTATTGACTTTGAATGCGATTTACTTTTATTATTTGCATGGCATCATTTACTTTTACCTTTTTTTACTACTTTTTTGGAAACACAAATTCAAAAAAAAAATAATAAAAAATTTCAAAATTACAAAGAATCAACAAGAAATTGCAAAACATGTTGCAAGGCATCACAAGGCCAAACAAAACAAAAACAAAAACAAAACATTTTTAATATTTACATATATGCATATATGTATATGTATATATATACACGAATACATATATATATATATAAAATATATATAAATAAAAGTTTATAAATGTCCATTTTTTGATTATTAGTAGTGATGTTAAATGAGTAACAAAATAAATAAATAGTAATTGTAATAATTGAAACTTGTATGTAAAAGCTACAAAAAAACAAAAACAATGAAATTATGAGAGCAAGCAAAGAGTTTATTGTCGCATGTGTCTGTGGTTCGCCCGCCCGAACACTTTCTAATGTCCCCTCCCCCGAAAAGCTAATAAGAGGAAGAGGTAGAGGCAGCAACTACTGAATGCGCATTTAGGAAATGGCACGCGAGAGCGAACACGTTTACAATTTACAAGCTAAGAACCAGTTTTAAGGATATGCAACGTATATCTTTAAATATATGTATACTAACCCACCAAATTCAAAGTATTTCAAATGTTTTATATATATACGAACGATAACAACGCGAACGAAGGCGGGGTCAAACACGAGTCCTCCTTTTCTAACACTCTTTCCAAGCAAGCAAGCGACAGCTACAACTACTTATTAAACATCAAGCACTAAAACTGGCTCACAATTGGCATTACCTTTTGCCAAAGACCAAAAAAAATATGAAAAAAAAAACAAACAATAAAATATGGAAATATGCTTCCCGAGAGAACAAAGGAAGATATCAAATTTTGAGCTCATGTGTTGCATGTTTTTTATTGTTTTTTTGTTGGCAACTTATATACACTGCCTCGTGTCTCTTGTACTGCTCATACGTATGTACCAATATATACATATATATACATACATACATATATATATATATATATATATATATATATATATATATATAGTTCATGTATAGCTATACTGTGCAAGTCTTATGCATGTGGCATTCTGGAATCCAATCCTTAGAAGTCATTGTGAAATGCATCTATTTATACATTCTTGTACTCATCAATATATACATATATACATATATTTATATATATATGTCATACATACGTACACAAGCAAAGAAATCTCGAATTCAAATCAAATATAACATGTAGTCAAGTCGTAAGTAGTTCGGCGCACTCTAATCCAACTCTCTTTCAACAGCGAGTGCTCAGTTATGAATGGATATATATATATGTATAAGTATGTATATATATATATACATACTTAAGCATTTCAATGGCGAATCAAATTCAGTTAAACATGTATTTGTGTAGCTTTTAGTAATCGATAAATATATATATATATATATATATATATATATATATATATATATATATATATATACATATATATATATATATATATATATATAAACGATAAGGAATGAATGCTGATCGGAGCAGAGCAGATCGATGGGAACATCATTTGGTATGCAAATCATATATATATGTGCATCGTATATCTAATTGTTTTTTCTTAAAGTATTTAGTTTAACATAAGATCATATTTTATGTATTTTTAATAACATTAACAACAGCAACAATACAACATTAATTATTGAATGTTTCAACTAAGTTGTATAATTATAAGTGACATTAACAATGAACGCGTCTCTAGGCATAATGCAATTATGTATCTCTATCTGTATCTAATCAACAACAATAACAACAACAGCAGCAACAACACGATCGCTTCATCGGATATATCCGCACAACTATCAACAACAATTCATGGAAAACTTAACGCACAAGCTAAAAGAAATACGAAGCATAACAGAAAAGATCAATGAATACATAGATGAATTATATACATCGTACATCAACATAGATATATATATATATAGATACATATATATATATTCCATATAGGTGTATACATAAATGCATATAATGGCGATTCCAGTAAAGAAAACTAAAGAAACAATTTAAAGTAAATCAATACAAGACATATAAATATGTATGCATATATATACATATATATGTATGCATATAACATATATATACATATATATATATATATATATATATATATATATGAAAGCATTAAGCAAAATTTACATGCATTTAATATACATTTTCCCATAACCATTAACATTAAATAAATACATAATTACAAAATAATATTAACAACAAGAAGACGAACAACAATTGAGACAATTGAGTATATATGCGAAGCTATAACCCAATTCAGTGTTATAAGCAATTTTTAAATCATTGTCGCATTTTAGATACCAAAATTATTTCCAAACGCGAATTCAGTTCGCAGATGACACGAATACACACTCTCTTCTCACTCAGTCTACAGGCTCTGCGAGCTCTTAGGGGCCAGCAGATCGTATCGCGAGTGTAGCATTACACACACACAAGCACACAGACACATACTCTCACACACACACAGACACACAGAGACACACACATGAATTACATACGAACTAAAAGAAATGGCATACAAGTAATTTTAAATTGAATAAAATTAGTATTAAATATGTACAACAATTCCCAAAGTTGTCTTTCTTAATGGGCTTTTAATGGGGTATTTGTTTAGAGTCTAAAACATACATATTTATCTATTCAACGCTTGTTATATCTATATCTAAAGCTAAACGCCAGCAGCCAAGTTGAGATTGATTTGCAAGCGCGCGAATCGATAGTCGCGACTATTCGCATTGCGCAGTAGACAGAGCAGCGGCTGTCTTGAGCGACCGGCTGTGTCTGCCTTGCGCGCTGCGAGCAGCTGTCGCAGTCCATTGGCCGTTACGTAGCCCACGCCGCAAACAGCTGCCTCCACGAAGCTAAAGCCAGCACAGCTCACATAGCCAAACACCTCGCGGCTGCATTGCCGGCGCACGCTGTCGTGCGTCTCGGAGGGCTCTGTCGGTAGCCATAGGCTGCACATTTTGGTTAGTTGCTCGCTCACTAGTGACGCAGTCTTGGCAGGCCTTATGTGAACGCGTCGCGTGCTTGTCTCCTGCAGTCGTCGCTTTTCGCGCACACGACGCGCTCGCAAGCGCTTCAGCAGGCGCTTGTGGCCCAGCCTCAATTCCTTGCGCAAACGTTCGTTAAGATCGGACAGCAGGGGTTCAGTATGCACCGGCTCCTGATTATCATGCTTTAACTGCCGCCAGTAGCGTTTCCAGTCGAGGCGTGAAGGCAGGCAAATTAATGCATTACTCTCCAAGTTACCCCGCGTATGCAGGCGCAATTCCACTTGGATGAGGCAATTGTCAGTCAGGCAATCCGGGAATTGTTCTCGATGGCGCATGCATTTATCCAGACGCTGCAACATTGCGCGATCACGCATCACATAGAAGCTCTTCGGCGACGTTGAAGTTTCCAGATTCCAGTCACGAACCAGGGATTGCCATGGCGCTTTAAATGGACTGACCACCGCCAGCTTGCGATAGTTGCAGCGCTTGTTGGGCGGCAGACGAAAGTAGCGGGCACGTCGCTCCAAAGAAGCTCTCGCTGCCTGCTCCAAACCTAGCAGCAAGATAAAAGATCTAATTTTCATTCTATATATAGTCTAAAAGAGCTAACAGAAACTTACCAGTCACAGTATCAGGTAGATGATGATCGACGCCCAACTCTCTTGCTACCGATTCGAATTCACGCAGTCCACCAGGTCGGGCGCCCCACATGATAAGCGTCTGCCAGAGCGCCATTCCGTAACGAGCGGGTGCAATTACATCCCAGCCCGCAGCATAGCCCAAACGTTTGTAGTTCGCTTGCTGCGATCCTGGACGTTGAATGAGCAACAGTGGTATTGGCTGCATCTGCTCCTCAAAGGCACACGGCTCGCCAGGCACTATGGCGTGCTTTTGACGCAGCTGATTGTATTGATGTGTCAACATCATTTGTCCGCTGAGACGCACACGCAGCTCCGGATCCCATAAGTCGCTGAAGGGCGGACTAGCGGGCTGCATCATAAGCAACTGAGTTGAGTTGACCGCAGAAGCTGCCGGATTGGACGCTTTCGTGCGCTTACTGGGTCGCTGCAGACGCGGATCGATCACATTTACGCTAAGAATCAAATTGGATAAGACTTCACTGGGCGAACGCAACTGCAGGGCAGCCTCACAGTAATCAGCCTGATCTAGCAGATCATGGGATGCATCCAGCAGTTCCTTCGATTTGGATAATGTCGAACTGTTTTGACGGTGAACACGTAGACTGGCAGCCAGGACGCACTGAGAGCGAGGCCCAGTCAGACGAAAACGATTGAATTCCTGATTCAAGATCATCATCTCCATGCCGGTATCTTTATTGATATAGCTTTTGTTCCGTTCGAACGCCTTGGTGTGTGTCACGAAACGCGGCGATTGTTCGTCTGATTCAGCGGGCAATGGAAGCTGTTCCTGTTTTGTGGACTTAAGCTGAAATACTTGAATTAGTTGGGAAGTGGTCGCCTCAACGGCAGCAGGATGCAACCAAAGCCACAGAGTCCGCTGTGCCTGCGCCTCCGGCTGCTCTTCGGGGCGCCACATGAAGCTGGCACAGTGCAGTGCCCCCGACGGATACTGACCATCGGCGAATAGCTGAATACTGCCCTCGCGGCGTCCACTCAAATATGTCTTTGCGGCTATGCCCAGTCCACAGTCTGGACTTGTGAGTCGCCCGAAGCCATTACGCAGGTGGTCGACAGTGCCCTGCATTTGCACGCAGCTATAAAAAGAAATGTCCTGTAGCAGGCAGTGCTCGGCACTGGCACGATAACATGCCCGGTAGGTTTTATCGCAGCTGGCATAGGGCAGTCGATAGCCCCAGCGGTCAATCATGTGAAAGCGCTTGGCATGCCAAATGTGGGTCTCTAGCCAGTTGATCTTCCGCTGTCGTCGGATATATTCATTTAGCAGATTTTTTGGACGTCGGCGATATTTACGGGATGGGCGCTTATGGTTTACAGGCTGATTGCCCGCTTTACTCATTTGAGAATTGTGGGCGGAACGGTATTTACGCGGCAGGCGCTTAGGATGGTGGGACATGGCACGCCGGCGCATATGCTTTGGCAGCGTTTGAAAAATAAGCTTACTGCTGGCAGGCAGTTGGGCATCTGCGATCATAGATTTGATCTCCTGAAGAAGTCCAGATGCATAATGATAGGTGGCCACATGACTGGGCAGTGTTACATGTCCGCCAAGGCTGGCATCGTATTCAAGCTTTTGTGAGCTCATCACGCTAATTTTTTTTATGTTTCTTAACCATAAGAAAAACACAAAAATTCAAACGAAACAATTTAAAGCTTTCGCACGTGTACCGCTTTGAGTTGAGTGATACCAGCAGTGTCGTCTACCTAGCAGTTATCGATATTTACAATAATTAAAAACTATCTGTGCAGTTGCGATACTATTGCAAGTTCCTGGTAGATCTACATATCACACGAATACGGTAAATTCTCGACTGATAGAAATAAACATAGAATAACAAAACATATTTTCACATTTGTTAAAAAAATAATTAATTAATTAATTAATTAATTAATTATATGTTTAAATTAACTCATTTATATTGATTTCCAAATTCATAATTCATTTGAAATTTTGTTCAGTGTTGATTCTGCATCGATAGTATTAGTAGTATCGATAGTTTTTTTAGTACACAAATTATTTTTCTGAAGCTCAATTTTTAGTTGATTTACTATCGATATAAGATCAAAACCCGAGTTCTTGGTTTGCAGAAAGCCAGCGCCTATTTTAGTGTGTAAAGCGGCTAATAATGCAAAGATGGTGGCCAGTGCAGTGGTCAGAGCTTGTGCTGGTTCTGCTCTTGGTCGCTGCTTCACAGGCTGCGTCTGGCCGACCACCGCATAACACAACGATAGCTAAACCCAGTCAACTGAAGAACAACAGTTTCTGCCAAAGCCGCCTCTTTTGGCGCCTTCCCGCCAAGGACACCTGCCCAGGCTCCATACTGCCGTTGCGTGGTACCGTGTATATACTCTACGATGTCAACATCTCCGAAGGCTTCAATCTGCGTCGTGATGTGTACATACGCATGGCGGTTTTTGTACGTCGCCTGCGACACCGCAAACGTTTTCGCAATGTCCGACTCGTCCTACCGCCCTGGCCACGTCTCTATCACTGGCACTCACATGGCCTGGGCCAGAGCGATCTGATGTGGCGCAACTTCTTCGATTTAGATAGTCTCCGTCGCTACGCGCCAGTCCTCGACTACGACGAGTTCGTGGCTGAATATCGCCAATTCGGGATGCCAGCGCCGCCCTACGTCCACGTCTCCCAGGCCTTTCGACTGACACACTACGAAATTATGAAGGAGCAGGGTATTTTCCGGGACAAGTACGAACGCATAACACCAGGTGCCAGCGATGACTCCAATGGCCATCGCATGGAAGCCTGCAATGAGAACTCCATCAGTGGAGGTCCGCTGCTGCAGCAACGACTTCTACGCTACGGCCGTTATCACTGTGTGCGATTCCAAGGCAGTGCTGGCCTGCTGCAGCGCATGCTCCGCGAGGCTATTGATGAGGACACGTCAGGTGTCGAAGATGCCGACGACATGCGCGTCTATGCGGTGCTCAGCGCCGAGACCGTTCTGCACGACAATTGGGGCGACGAGCACTTTTGGCTAGCGCGGCGCTCGATGCGCTTTGCCCAGTCCCTTAACCAGGTGGCCGCAGACTTTAGGCTTATGTCGCTCAGTACCACGGAGACAACGGCCGGCGTGCAACGACCCGCCATGTGGGAACTAGAGCGACCCAAGCGCGATGCACGCGGTGGCGACTACTTGTGCGCCCATCTTCGACGTGGCGACTTCGTGAGGTCGCGGGAATCAACCACGCCCACACTCAAGGCGGCGGCACAGCAGATAAAGCAATTGCTGCGTGCATTCAACTTGACCACGGTGTTTGTGGCCAGCGATGCGACGCCATATGAGCTGCTCGAGCTGAAGGAGCTCTTCTATAGATTCCGCTTTGTGCACTTTACGCCGGAGTCGAATGTGCAGCGACAGCAGCTGAAGGATGGCGGTGTGGCCATAGTCGATCAGCTGATCTGCGCCTATGCCCGCCACTTTGTGGGCACGTACGAGAGCACGTTCACCTACCGCATCTACGAGGAGCGCGAGATTCTCGGCTTTAGCAAGTCGAGCACCTTCAATACATTCTGCAAGGCATTGGGCGGCATCTGTGCCCGTAATGCCGTCTGGCCCATTGTCTGGAATGATGACGATGAGAGGTTTTATTAACTGTATTTCTTATGTTTATTATCTACTGACAACAAATAACGGCCACTCATTTTTTTAAGTGTAACAGTTAAGTGTACTTTACGTAGGATTATTTTTGAATATTGTGAAACTTCGAACAAACTGCGATGCCATACCAAAAAATTAAACACATTTTAAACGTACATTGCCACTGAACTACACTCACACACACACACATTTACATATATATATGGAATACGATATCTACTACTATTTTGGGTATACAGGGAGAACTGATAAAGGTATGTCATGTACAGTTAAATTTCTTTAATTTGTATTATAAGTTATTTTAAACAACTTCGCTTCGCATATTTAAATAAACGATAAAATACTAGGTGTCACAAAATACCGATTACAGCGATTTAGTATTAATTTGATATTGCACTGCATAAATACCAAATACATAGAATTATCGATAATTGCGAAGTAAAATCCAAAGACATAGCTTACACAGTTGCACGTGTTTTGTTTTTATTAATTCAATTTTACCTGAGACCATTATCCTTTTGCCAAAATGGGCAAAAAGAACAAAGCTGGCACCAATCTGGGACGCCAGCTAATTAAAGATCGTTTTGGCCACACACCACGCCGCAAAGTGGACAATGACACAATGGTGCGTAGTAAATTTCGTTATCCCATGCATTTAACTAATTTCATTTATATGCATATGTATATATTTACACGCAGCTGCACACAACAGAGCTGCAGGATGGTTATGATTGGGGCCGCTTGAATCTCTCGTCTGTAACCGAAGAGTCGTCGTTCAATGCATTCTTGCGCACTGCAGAACTGGCTGGCACAGAATTTCAGGCCGAGAAGCTTAACATTACATTTGTTAATCCGAAACAGCGTGTGGGTCTGCTTAGCAAGACACAGGAACAGACTATGCACCAAAAGCATGCAGAGCATCGTGATCAGCTGAAAATTCCACGTCGTCCCAAATGGACCAAAGAAACCAGCGCTGATGATTTGGAGCGTGCCGAAAACGAAGCCTTTCTTAGTTGGCGTCGTGATTTGGCGCTGCTCCAGGAGAGCGAAGAGATCCTTATGACGCCATACGAAAAGAATTTGGAATTCTGGCGCCAGTTGTGGCGTGTCGTTGAGCGCTCCGATGTTGTTGTCCAGATTGTGGATGCACGTAATCCGTTGCTTTTTCGCAGCGTCGACCTGGAGCGGTATGTCAAAGAGGTGGACAGTAACAAACTCAATATGATCTTAGTAAACAAATCGGATTTGCTAACGCTGGAGCAGCGACAACACTGGGCACAATATTTCGACTGTGAGGGCATACGCACAGCCTTTTACTCCGCCACATTAGTTGAGGAGGAGCTAAAGCGTGAAGCTGAGGCCGCCAAACATGCTGTTGATTCGCCATCATCGGCGCTGGAGCTTAAGCAGCTACGCGAAGCGGCTGAGGAGATTCAAGAGTCACTGAATGCGGTCGAGCACACATTGGACGCCATAGAGAATAAGATGAAAGCAAAACCGACTATGGTAACAGATCCCAAGCTGCCCAGGTTGCCCACGGATAAGAACAGCGCACATCTGCTGTCACGCACAGAGCTAATTGAGTTCCTTCGTCACATCTACACGGGTCCGAGGCACACTGCACAGCATGTAACCATCGGCATGGTGGGCTATCCGAATGTGGGCAAGAGCAGCACGATTAACTCATTGATGACTGTGAAGAAGGTTTCGGTATCTGCGACGCCCGGCAAGACAAAACGTTTTCAGACGCTTTTCTTGGACAATGATATTTTGCTCTGTGATTGTCCCGGTCTGGTGATGCCCAGCTTTGTGCTCACCAAGGCTGACATGTTACTCAATGGCATACTGCCCATTGATCAAATGCGCGATCATGTGCCCGCCGTAAATTTGCTCTGCGAGCGTATTCCACGCCATGTTCTCGAGGACAAGTATGGTATTGTGATAGCCAAGCCCCTAGAAGGCGAGGATCCGGATCGTCCGCCGTTCTCTGAGGAGCTGTTGCTTGCCTATGGCTGTAAGTAATACTTCGAAAGTTGACACATTACAGATTGAATTCAACTATTCATTTCGCAGATAATCGCGGTTTCATGACTTCGAATGGCCAACCCGATCAGGCACGGTCAGCTCGTTATGTACTGAAGGATTACGTCAATGGCAAACTGCTATTTGCTCTTGGCCCACCCTCTGTTATTCAGTCCGAGTATCACATATTTCCAGAGCGTCAACGTAAGCCTATTGAGGAATCACAGCTGCCCGGACAACAGCAACGTGCCATGCGCGTAAGTTTCCAGCTTGTTGAACGTTTTTATACCCTAACTTAAATGTATGTTATTCACAGATCGATAAGAGCACGTCCAAGGAACTAGATCAACAGTTTTTCACCTCGAAGCCGAGCGTTGCGCATGTAAAAGGCCGCACCAACTTTCCACATGTGCGTCTGGCAAACGATGGCAACTTGGTCACTGGCGAGGCACCAGTCAAGCCCTGGCGCAACGTCAAAAAGGAGCGACGCGAGAAGCTACGCAAAAAGTTCTCCCACCTAGATGAGCACTAATTGGGACATAGAAAATACACAGACCCGGCGTTGCAGTTGGCCAAGAACTTGTCGAAAGCCCATCCCCACTGCTCTTAAATTAATATTAGTATAGGAATTATTTTACGTGCCTCTCTAACGAATGTCAGCTCTTAGAGATGACCTTTGCATGGCTCAACCAAGTGTGCATACATTAGATGTTTACATTTGTAAAATGGTGCTAGATTGGCAACTGAATCATTGAAGTAAAGTATCTTTTTCCTTTTAATATTCACAAAATAATAAGTCAAGAAGTTAAAGGAACAACAAAGTCTATATATTATATTATTCGCAATTTGTAATCTCGGTTTGTTTTCATTATTGCCGAAGATCAGTTATCACTCATGTTTTATATACACTGCGTACGCTCCACAAGCAGCTCAGCTGCACGAGCTACACATTCATATCTCTATCTCATGCAACCGGCTGGTGGGTGTTGTCTCTCTTTCTGTACCACGCATTGGCTCTGCTGACTGCATACGACTTTATACATAGCATATAAAATATGCAGTTACAGATTTATAATACACTCTCCAAACAAGTTTTTATACACTGTAATTGTAAGTGGAGCTTTAACGTGTTTGTAGCAGCCAGCTGAGGGCATTCTTCAGAGCACTTGTTGGAGTTGTCTGCACATTTCAAAGACTAGAATTTTCAAATGTATATTTTTATTTATTTAGATTACTATGCCTATTCCTATATTATTTAACTTAAAATCTTTTCTACTGTTGCATAATTCCAAACTAAAAATCCAATTTAGAAATTTCTAGTTTGCTGATTAAGAGATGAAGTTCGAGACGAAACCCCTTAACTAAGTTCCGCTAAAATATGTTCTTAAGGAGAGATATTGATTAACATTTGGTAAAGGGTATTTCGAAGTCGGTGCTTTGTGTTGTTGAAGAACATGAAAATTATATTCAGCTCTTTTATGGAATTCAAGTTGTTCGTGTTGTTGGTTAAGTAGGCGAAGAAAGAGGAGAAGGAGAGGTGAATAGGGAAAGAGAGAAGGAGAAGGTGCTCTTGCTGCTGGGGAACTGAACTTTGGATTGAGCGACATCTGCGATAGCTGCTGAGCGACCCTCTCGACTTAGCGTCGATGGTGATAACCGACAACTATTGACGTATGTGTGTGTGTGTATGTATGCGTGTTTATATGCTCACTTGCATGCTTGTAGATCGGTTCGTGTTTACCGAAGCTTATTGTCTTGTGCGCTGCGTTTAGCCCACACAGCAATTAATAAACTGAAACGCTGCCCTAGAACTAGTCTGTTTTCCAACGTTGCCATGAGTGAAGGTAGAAGCGCTGCTCCGGCGACCAATTTCAATACGTTCAAGGAGCTGCGGGTGGCGCGTCGCGGCTCGCTTTTGGAGATACAATTCAATCGACCTGCTGTGCAGAATGCGCTGCGCCGTCGCACCATCTACGAGCTGCTGCGCGCCTTGGACGTGGCCAATGCGGACGAGATGGTCAGCATCGTGGTGCTGACGGGCAACTCGACTGCCTTCACATCGGGCAATGATCTTACCGATCTGCTGGCGCTGCAACGCAAGAACGGCGCCGAGGCATTGGACGTGCACTTTCGTGCCTCGAACTTCGTGATGAAGGCGCTGGTAAAGAAGATTCTGAACAACCGCAAGGTGCTGGTGGCCCTGGTGCAGGGCAATTGTGTTGGCCTGGGCGTTGTCATCTGTGCGCTGTGCGACGTTATCTATGCCACGGAATCTGCCCAGTTTTGGCTGCCCTTCTCGCAGCTGGGCCTGTGCGCCGAGGGCGGCACTAGCTGGACGTTGCCCCAGCTGCTGGGCCGGAGCAAAGCAGCTGAGCTGCTGCTGTTCGGTGAGCGACTGAACGGCCAGGCGGCACTGCAGCACGGCATGATCTCCAGCCTGGTGTCCAATGAGCAGGAGTTCTGGAAGCGCATGGAGCAGCACTCGCGGCTGCCGAACGTCTCGCTGTGCAGCACCAAAAAGCTGCTGCTGCATCCATGGCGCCAACAACTGCTCGATGCCCTGGAGACTGAATGCATGCAGCTAGAGGCACTGCGTCTCGGCCCCACCTATCGAGCACAAATAATGGCCTTTGCCCGAAGAAGCAAGCTCTGAGTTCATTTCCCCAGACATTACGTACTCTAAGACAATATTCCTGGATGCCAACAAAACATGTTGTTATTATTTTTGTTTATTTTAATGTGCTCAGCAAATAAGATTATAAAAGAAAATCCACTGAATGTGCCCGAAAGCAAACAGAGCTCGGTTTATGGACAAAGTTCAAGGGAAAATCTTAACGAAGGGAAATGATAAGAGGAGGGGAGAGGGACAAAGAGAGGGTAGACAGAGAGAAAGAGATGATAGACAAAATGTATAGATAGAAAGAGGGTGAGCGAGAGAGAATGAGAGATAAGAGAAAAGATAGCAAGAAAGAGACGGGAGAGACAGAGAGAATGACTGAATAATGAAAATGGCATAGAAAGACAGAGAAACAATTTAAAAATGAGATAGAAAGAGAAAAAACGAGGGAGACAAAGAGAGAGAGATAAGAGAAAAGCTACACAGAGACAGGAGAGATAGACATAAAGCAGGTATAAAGAAAATTGTTTAGAAAAAGAGAGAAACAGCATAAGAAAATGAGAAAGAAAAAGAAAAAAAGCGATAGATAGCTAGAGAGAGAGAGATAGAAATATTGAAGCATTTATAAACAGAGAGAGTGAAATACAGGAAACAGATTGCATGGAGAAATGAAGTAAGCTTAATCTGAATTAACTGTTTAGCAAGGTAAGATTAGATATGCGCCTCAGCAGTCACCGTAAAGTCAAGATACAAATAAAGTAAACTGTTAGAGACACTCGAAACATATATGAGAGTTGCCTGCCTGTCATATCTATATGACATATCTACCATTTATCTTTTCCATTTATCTGCTGAGCATTCGATGCAGAGATGAGCTCGAAATGCTTAGCCAAAGTGCAGATTTGATCGCTTCAGGCTGATAGAAATAACCTGGCCAAAAACTTACCATGATCGTGACTTAGCTAAAGAACTACCCCAGACTTGGCTAGAATATTGAGTCCAGCTGAAAGCTGCCAGATGCCACCTTTACTCTGCCCCATCAGCTCTAGATTGAAGAAAATCATTGCGCAATTTGATTGAAAGAAAGGAGTTTGTATTTTTATATAAGTTCTCAGAATTTGAGCTGTGTTATTGCCGTTGATGCTATAACCGTTTTGTTTTTGTTTGTTTTTTTTTTTGTCTTAGTTTTGTTTTCTTTATCTTTTCGAATTTTAATATTAAATGTAGTTTCAAAGTGAAGTGTAAAGGATTTTTGCTCTATGTGTTTCTTGTTCTGCTTCTTTTATGTATGCATCGCCGTTCTTATAAAGCAATTGTACAAATACATATATATTTATATATGTATGTGTCTGTGTGTGTGTTTAAGTGTGTGTGATTCATATAATTTGTTGCTTGCTTAAAATGTTCTTAAGTTTGACCTTTGTTTGTTAAGGTATCTGGCTTAGCTCAAAGCTGTTGGTCAAGCCACTCAATTTTGCTGTATATATATATATCTATATATTTATATATATATAGAAATATATATTTATATAGAAATGTATGTGCAATTTACTTAGTATAAATTTGTCTCTCTTTTGTTTTTGTTTTGAGTTTAGTTTATTTTCTTAATTTCTTTCTGAGATGATCTTGTTGTTGTTTTTTAAGATTTCAACTTGTTTTTAGGCGTATGCAATATTTTGTTCTTTTCTACAATTTTGTTTTTAATTTTTTATATATTTTATTTATTTATTTATTTATTTTTTACTGCTAGTTTCGATAAGAAAATAATTTTGTTTGGATATTAATGCATTTCTTTTGTTAATTGTTGGCGTTATTATATATACTATATATACATAGTTATATATGTATGTGTGGGTGTGTGGGTGTGTGACTGTGTGTGTGTACTTATTATTTGTTAGATTTCCTTTTATTGTTATGCTCGAATATGTTTAAACACTCTTCTTGTGTAAAGTAAAATTTGTTGTCTAGATTATTCACTAGCTGTCTTCTTCTTCTATCTTGTTGTTTATTATTTATTTATTATTATTTTATATATATATAATTTTGTTGCTGTTGTATGCCGCAATTTTTTAATACTTTTCTGTTACTCTTTGTTACAGTTGGCATTTAATGAACTGTTCGATCTGTCTTAGATTTATTCATAATTTGTTAATTATAGTTTGACTAGCTACGCTTTAATAACAACAGACAAAAAAAATTAACAGTTATAATGCACCTGCGCTAACTTTTGTGTTCATTTGTTAATCAAAGTTGTTCTTATTTAATTTAATTTAAACTTGCTTCTTCTTCTATTTGTTCTTCCTGCTCCTTTTCTGGTATTGCTTTATTAATTTACTAGTTGAACTTTTCACCGATGCTTTCTATCGCTTGTTATTGCTTTCCATTGGCATCGTCAACGATCGACTATTGCCTATCGATCATCGACTATCGATCATATGTATGTCGTATAAACGTTTTCTAAAGGGTTTAACCCTGCACCCAAATGTCTGATAGAGCTCTGAAATATACGTGTATATGGATAGGCATGGTATATATATATATATATATATCTTCACATTGCCCGGGCAGTATATACCCATTATGGTAAATGGGGGCGGGGCACAGGGCATCTGGCATGCGTGAGTGCAGTTTACGTTTTCTATGTGTTTTCAATTGACGCTGAATGTCCTCTATGCATACCCTGTTATTGTTGTTAGCGGGTTTATAGACGTCTCAGGTTATCGATCAGTTTGCTTAAATATAAATTATATATATGTATATATATGCTTATACCTATTATGAGTCCATAAAGCTACTTATTTGCCATCTGCCAGTCTAGTTGCCTTTCGTATTGCAAATTCTAGAAGGGATTTCTCTTTTTGTTTTTGTTTTTTTCTTTATCATTGCTAAATTCAATTTTTATATATTTTTATTATATAGTAAAATGTGAAGTTTTTGTTTTTGCAATTAATTATTAATATTCTGGATGCACTACGGTCTATGAATATAACTTTTGAGTGTGTCTTTTTATTAGATTCTCTTTATAAACTCTGTCGTCGTCTGAAGTGTGGAACTAGCTAAGAAGACAAAAAGTAAGCGAGGCGGAAAACAAACTGTGTATTGGGTACAGGGTATTTGCTAGGCGAGCATTCCCGCCCTTTGTCGTCCGTTGGCCGTTACTGAGGACGGATTAACTACAAAAAATGCGAATCTTATGTTGCTTAAGGTAATTAAAAAAGTACTTTATCTAATCTGATCTGATCTGATCTGATTTGATCTGTTTAACTAATTGTTACTATCATCAATTACATAAGGTTTTCTGCGCGTTTGCATATATATATATATATATTCTGCTTCTTATTTGTTGATTAGGCACGATCTCTCAAGCACCAGTTAGCATTAAGGATAGCGAATCAGGCAGCTCAACTGAGGATTGAGGAAACCGGCCTGACTTAACTACATATATATAGGGTACATCTATATATATATAGATGCTATAACAATTCTGATTTCGTTTGCATTAATTGTTCATGTATTCAGTTATATACATATATCTATATAGTGTATGCATGTATATATACTTTATCTGTTATCTGTTATCTTTTATCTGATAATTTGTTAAGGCAAACGCAAACGCATTTTAATTGTGAATACAAAGTGTCAACGGTTGGCCACCTGTTTTCATTGTGTTCTCTACATCGTAAATGTTGCTAATTTTAGTATTTCAATATTTCTTAGTTCTTATGCAGTTAGGCAAAGTGTATATATATACATATGTATATATATATGTATATATATATATATATATATATATATATGTATAATTTATGAACTTTTGCTAACTCATTTTCGATTATGGCTAAAATATTTTAAACTATTTGCATTGTTATCATATTGTTATTATATATATATACCTGCACATATGTGCATGTGTATGTATATATATATATATATATATATATATATATATATATATATATATATATATATATATATATGTATGTATGTATATTTTACTTTACGTGAAATCACAGTCCGTATGTGAAAAGACTTTATGTACTTGAATGATAATTATATATATATATATATATATATATATATATATATATATTTATATATATTTATATTTATATATATATATATATTTATATATATATAAATGAATTTATATATGTATATATATTTGTGTTTGTGTGTGTTTATGTATTTGTAAATATACATTATGTATACGCCGTGTATTCGCATATATTGCTAATTATATATCTATTTAATGCATAAGTTTATCTCAAGGCTGTGACTGCAAAACTGTGTGTGTGCGTGTGTTTGGGTGTGTGTGTGTGAGGCAAATTTGATAACAAGTTAATTATTGGCATTTAATATTATTTAAAATATAAACTTTTTTCATTTAATAAAAGGCATTTGTTAAATCTTGTTTGTTTGTTTTTTTTTTCTTTAGAAAAAAAAATTCTTGATTTTTTGTTGCTGTTTTTAAATTTAAATTGATTTGTTTAACTACATAATGAGTATGTCTATAAGATTTGATTTAAATTGTTTTCGTTATTAGCTAAAATTTATGTATTTTTTTCATAATTTATATATATTTTATTTGATGCAGTTTGTTGCTTGCCAACATTTGTTTATGTTAATTTCTTAGCTAATAAAAAAAGCTTCAGTTTTTTCATTTTTTTTTTTTAATTTGATATGAGCATTCACATAAGTTTTATGTTCTTAAAAGTGTGTGTGTGTGTGTGTAGTAAAGCAAAAGCGCATCCTAGACAAAGTTAACCAAACGTTAAGAGCAGTGTTCCTTGGTTTACAGTTAGGATCTAATATTGTCATCAAAAATTGGGGCACGAGCAAGAGAAGCATTTAGTTATATAGTTCATATATATATATATATATATATATAACATATATATAACATATATATATATATATATAAGCAAGTTCTCCGTGATGTGGAAGGAACTGTGTGTAAAATTTTTTGTTTTTTTTTTTTTGGATTTCGATGAAAATGATTTGTTTTTTTGTCGTTTTGTAAATTTTTTTTTGTTTTTTTTTTTTTGGGTTTTCTTTGTTGTTGTTTTGTTAGAGTGTTACATATTTTTTTAAGGTATACATAGTCGTAAATATATGCATATAAGTACTTAAAGTGTTTTCAATTTTGCGGTTCAGGAAGAAAACTGTTTACTTAAAGATGTTGTTCTTCTTCTTGTTGAGGCATATCTACGTATGTGTGTGTGTGTGTGTGTTAGTTAGTAAAAATTCATAAGCGCCATTTGTCAGCTGATTTAATCGATCTGCAGGGATTTGGTGATTGCTGTCTCTAGAACGCCATGCTCGTCCGCCTGCCACCCATGCCGCCTGCCCCGCCACCGCCGCCACCACCGAGACCGCCGCGCATGGCGCTGTGTGATACGCTGCGTCCCATGCGCGCCTCGCTACCGCGGCGCTCACGCGCTCGCCTCAACAGATCCGAGGTGCTGGGCCTGCGACTGCTGTTGGTGCTTGCTGAGCCGCGTCGTCGACAGGACACAATGTCCGAGGTGGAGGAGCGACGTATGCTCGCGTTGCCGTCCTCGGCAGACGCTTGCGCAGCTGCTGCACCACCAACAGCACGACCCCCGCCGCTACCGGCTATCATATAGGGCGACAGATAGTACGGCGACAGCGAGGAGCAGCCGCCATAAGTCTCCATCGTCGGCAGCAACAGGCTGCCCGAGTTGTGTCGCGGCGTAAATGGTGACTGCGAATAGTCGAGCAGCAGCTGCGCTGACTCCGGCTGGCCCTGCGGATCGGGATCGACGGACTCGATGCGCAGATGCGGCGGTATGCGCCTGTTGGCAGTCGCATCCACAGCCAGGCTGGCGTTGCCGCCCAACGAGGCGGAGCGGCATTGCGCCTCCGTTTTGTGGCCAGCAGCGCCCGGCGTACGCAGGCCGCTGTAGAGCGTCTTGATGTGAAAGTCGAAGGACTTGAAATTGAGCAAGGAGCGTCGCTTCTGGCCCTTGGTCGAGCATGCCTCCAGATTGTCGCCGGTAGCAGCCGGGATGTCATTGTTGTTAAGCGAATCGAATTGCTGCTGCATGGCATTTGATCCACCCGAAGGCTCAGCTGCAGCTGGATTGGGTAGCTGCTGATAATGTTGCATTTGGTGCTGTTGTTGCTGTTGCTGCTGCTGCTGCTGCTGCTGCTGTTGCTGTTGCTGCTGCACCTCGTGCTTGCTTATTGTTGTTGTCATAGTATTGCTACTTAGGCTAGTTTTACTGCTAATCACTTTCAAAAATTTATTATCATTATCTAAGGACTCCTTTCGTCACTGAATAATACAGAAACCCTGCTTGGCAGCCTCCTTGGCATCCGCCTCCTCAATGAACGCCTCCTCCTCGTGCTTGGGCGAATCGGCACCGCAGGGTCCGCCGCCGCTCAGGCTAAGCGGGCCCTGCGGGCAGGCTGATTGTCACCGAAGCGCCAGTGTCGATATCATTGGCGGTCGCACCGGCTTGTTCTCCAATATCCGCTCCAATTCCAGCATCACGCTCGACGACAGCCGCGGCAACAGCTGCGCCATCAAAGGCATCATCAGTAAACTGTTTATTTCTAGTGCAGCTAGTTGACTCACCTGCAGCGACTGCAAGCTCTGATGCAGCTGCTCCGCCGAGGTGGCGCCTAGCAGAAGGCACTGAACGGGCTCGTGCTTCAGTGACCAGGCGATCGATAGCTGGGTCGGACTACAGCCCAGCTTCTCGGCCAGCGCGGCCAAGTCCCGCAACCGATCGCAATGTCGCCGCCCCTCCTCGATGCGATCCTTGCCCCAGCTGCCCTGCGGCGACAATGCAGCCTGCAAGACATCTCTTAGTTGGCAGTCACAAGAAAATATGATCCGCACTACTCACATTGCGATTAATCTCATCCTCCGTCCACGAGAAGCTCTTCGTCTTGAACGAGCCCTTGGGCAGGAAGAGCTTATCCCCGTTCTGCGTGTCGCTCAACGCCATGGACAACGGGCCCCAGGCCATCAGACCCACGCCAATTTTGTTATACATCTCGGGCAGATACAGCTCGCACTTCTCGCGACAGAACATATGGTATTCCGATTGCTCGACAATCGGTGTGATGCAGTTAAACTGCCGGCAGTTGGTATAAGCCTCCATGATCTCCACCTGCGACCATCTGGCCGTGCCCCAATACATGGCCCAGCCCTGCTGGATGATATAGCTCATGGCGCGCACCACTTCTGCAAGTAAGGGTCAGCGATACAGATAGGCATAAATGTAGCTTGGCATTGGCAAAAGCTTAAGGTAGGAAAGGCATAAATATAGATATGAGAAAAATCAGTAATAAAGATGAGCAATGATAAATATATAACAATTCTATGCATTTGTAATAGATATAGGTATTAACATTGGTATAAATGGCGTTTGTGCAGGCATAACACAAGTTTAAAAATAGGTATAAAACAACTAGAAACATTGATATAAATGACGTGGGCATAGACATAGAAAAAGTCTAAAAATGTGTATTAAAAATAGATATAAATAGGTATAAGAATTGACTTAAATGATAAAACATTGAAATAAAATGTTGGTACAAAAATAGGTATAAAAATAGGTAAAAAAATAGGTATAAAAATAGGTATAAAAATAGGTATAAAAATGGATATAAAATGTCTATAAAAATAGGAATAAAAATAGGAATAGAAATAGGTGTACAAATAGGTATAAAAATAGGTATAAAATAACGATGAAATAAGTATGCAAATTGAAGTAAATTATAAAAATGGTCATATATGTTGGCATAAATATAAGAAAGTAAGTAGTAATGAGCAGGCATTTTTCATGAAGCTCAGTAATAGACATAGGCATCATATGGGCTAGATATATGTAGATGTATAGACATTTCTAGTGTACATTTAGCAAGAGACTAACAGACATAAATAATGATAGCTGTAATTAAAAAGTACAGATATAAATAATACATATATATACGTTCAGAGATAAAAAGGCATAAATATAAGTAAGTGTAATAAAAGAGGCAAACTATAGTTAGATTAGATAAATATAGTTAGATCTCGGTGTAAAAAGATTGTTGTATAGATTATCAGTGATATATATAGACGTATATATAGTTATATCAATTATAGATTTAGTTAGTTATGCTGTTACTTAAATATAGGCGTTTTATTAGATGTATAATATAAGGTTTAGGTATATAATATGAAAGTTATATAATATAAAGAATAAGAGTATATTTTATATAGATATAATTATAGACATTTCTAAAAATTATTTCCAATAATTATAGTACTCCTTATACACATTGATCACCCATTTCTATTATTTAAATTCTACAGAATTGGCTGTGCCAATTTTTTTTTTAAATCTCTAAAGAGTGGATTTTATGTAATTAATGCTTTCGTAAAAAGCAATTGAGAATCGACTGAGTTCAAAGGAATCGGACATATTTGATATAATCATACTCGAATAGATCAGCATTGCTGATGGGTCTTCAAACTGGCCTCTAAATTAGAGCAGATTTATTTATCAAATCAAATTTGAGTTAGAGATTTCATTAGCTTCAGCTGACATGTGGTTCCATTTATGCGAGTTAGACATAGTTAGATAAAGCTTTTAAGTATTAGGTAAGCTGAGACTACCCACCTTCCATTGGGCACATCGGATCGGCCTTGTGAATGATGACAATATCGATGTAGTTCAGCTGCAGGCGCTGCAAGCTGGCGCGCACGCACTCGATGATGTGTTTGCGCGAGAGGCCTCGCTCCTCGGATCTGTTGTGGGATGTGAGGAGCATATACTTAAGATTGATCGTTGTCTTGGTATTGGGGACTCACTTGGTGCTCCAGTACACTTTGGTTGTGATCACATAGGTGGTGCGCTTCCAACCGGTGCGCTGCAATATCTTTCCGATCTCCGTTTCGGAGTGCGCCTCGGAGATGTCAAAGAGATTGATGCCGCTATCGATGGCCAGCTTCAGTATAGACTCGGCCTGCTCATCGCTGACGCCCGGCGAGAAGACCGGCCAAGTGCCCAGGCCCACATTCGAGATGCGCAGACCGCTCTTGCCCAGATTCTTGTACCGCAAACCTGGCGTCGGCGTCGAGCCATGCCGCAACGGCAGCGCCGGATTTGAGCCGAGGCTTATTGAACGGCCTATGATGGCAATCAGTCGGTCCACAAATCGATCAGTTGGTCGGGGTTCGGGTACGGATTGGGTGCGGTCAGCATGCGGCGGGAAATTATTTCATTGTTAGCGGATCCCATTACAAAAAAAGCCAAAAAACCAACAGAACCAAATACAAAAAACAAAAGACGTGCAACAAACAGCAAATGGAACAACTCAAAATTCAAAAAATCAACACTAAGAAAACCACTTTCAGGGAACAGGAACTTCAAAACTTTCAAAATGCAAAAACATAATTGAAATTACTTTAATATAAAGTCTACATTAATTGTAGAATCGATAGAAAATTCAAAGTCAAACTGTGCAAGCAACTGACTGATATATAATATATAATATATATATATATATCAAGTAGTATGTATCGGATAAAGAAACGATGGTTAGTCCATAAAGCGGGGTTCGTGCCGGTTTCAGAACCAAAACTTGAGTGGAATCGTGTGGCAAACGGTCTCAAGACTCAATACGCGTGCACCACTAGTCGCAAGTTAGGGTGTTGGACGTACGTCTGTGATAATGTATATTTGTGTATGTTTATATATTGTAATTATAGATAAAAATACAACAAGCCAAGCAATCGAAGAGTATTCAACTAAAAGAACAAAAAATTATAAGGTTATATAATAGTGAGAAATTCGATACCGAAATCAAGATGACCGCCCGTACCACTGAACTCCTCCATGCAGTCGAGCGACGCTATCGGAGCCCGGCACCTGCAAAACGCAATTAGATCAAAGTTCAAAATTCGATTATGACATTTTCCGATACAATCGTAAAAGTATTTAACTGATATCGATATATCTAAGCTTATAAATTTAGTAAGTGCTTGCTGCTTATTCGTGCACACCCCTAGTGCTGCTATCGATCAATGATCCATTTGGCAAGGTCGATAGGCACAGCTGTCGTTCGCATTACCTGTAAATGGTCACCGGGTTCGAATCATCGCTCGCATTATCCATGTTGTTGTTGTTGTCGTTGTTGCTTGTCTGCGCGTTCGCGGCGCCCATTACGAAATTCAATGTGCCTGGCAACACCATGCCGGCAGTCACATTCAAAGTACCGCTATTCAAGCTCAGCATTGTTTCGGTCGTTGTTGCTGGCAGCGACGCCGATGCCGTTGCCGACGCCGACGCCGACGCCGACGCCGACGCCGACGCCAATACAGCTGGCTCCGTTGTCGTCGCATAGCTGGCTGTGCCAATAATAGCAGGCGGCTGCAGTACCGTTATGGTAGCACCGTTATTGCTCACATCGCTGCCAGCGACGCCGCCCGCCTCGTGGCCCAGCAGCAGCGGCGTGCTGGCATTGGGCACATCGGCCACGTGTTGTTGTTGCCCATAGTCGTACGCCATTGCGTTTGTATTTGAATTTGTGTTTGCTGCGCTTGCATTTGCGTTCGTATTGTTGCTGTTGCTGCTGGCCGCCTGGCCGCCATCGCCATTCAGACTGCATACCATGGACATCTTGTATTACCTCTGCGCTTCCTTACGTTTGGTTTCACACTAAATGGATTCCATTTCTGTTATTCTTTATAGCTTGCTTCAGCGTCTTCTTCTTCCTCTCCTTTGTTTTGGCTGCAGTTTTCGTTGATTGATTTGTTGTTGTTGTTGTTGTTTGTCTTAATTATTTAATCGATTTGTACACTAATTTGCTTAAATTTGACTAATAATCACAATTTGAATGTTTCACAGCAGCTTTTAGCTGTAGCTGCTACTTTAAGGCAAGTCCAGTCAAATATTTGTTGCTTTGGATTCTACAAAAAGATTGAGCATTCGCTTTAAGCCATAACTCAACGAAACGCACCAACTTTAGCCTAGGCACACACACACACACAAATGCAGTTAAGTTGTTGAAACTTTTGTATTCCGATTCAAACTCAATTTTTTGCACTTTGCTTTAGTTAGCCAATCGAAAAATCTGGCTCACAAAAAGTATTTGAGGAACGTGATTTGCTTCAGGCCATAAATCGAACAGGAGTCCAGGGTATTTGGCTGTCGATTCGCATAGCTGTCAAAAGGCGGCAGCCATTGTTATTGTGTCCTTTCAATGCGAAACAATGGTAAGCTTAAACACAGCCACAACCACATCCAGAACAACAGAGCTCTCACAAAAGGCTGTTGCAGCAATGGGGTCAAAGTTCATGAAACCACCGACTAACATAAAACACACCAAAAAAACAAAACCAAAAACAAAAAAAAATAGAAAACAAAAACGCAAACGGACGTGTCAAGGAAACAACAAACATTTGATTTACTTACACAAATGATACCAGTTGAACGGACAAGGATTCAGCAATTGGCATGCTGTAGAGGCCAGAAGAAGAGGACGATACGCTGTGTAAGTCCTTGTAGGCATCTTGTAATACTCGAAAACAATTTGGCTTACTTCATTGACTGATGCAGTTTCATGAATACGTACATACAGCCAGTTCTAGTTCAGTTGGTAGGACAAAAGTTCTCTTTAGTGAACCAGTTCAATTGCATTTGGTAGCTCATGCAAGCAACATATATATAAGAAATTCTCAATTCTAATTCAATTCAATGAACAAGCTCAATTGAACAGTTCACAATTGTTCATTTGGCTAGTTCATGCACAAAACACGCTACTTAAATTGTTAGTTCTAGTTCAGTTTGATGATCAAAGCTCGATTTGATGAACAAACTCAATTGTATAGTTCACAATGGTGCATTTTATCGACTAGTTCATTTATTCAAAAGTGCACAGTTGGTAGTTCATTTGAATCAGTCGTTCAATTGAACTTATTCTGAAACATATTATGCATAGATCAACATATTTGGCAATAACTTGTGAACGTTTGATCAATGATGATTCGCTTGAACTGGGCTACAGAACAGTTGGAAACGTGACCCGCAAGCAAACATTGGCTCGGGACACAGGGTCGCGGCAAGGGCCAGCTCACGTGGCTGGTCACGCAACACACGGAACGAGGAACCCCAAATGCAAATTAAGCAAAAAAAAAAAAAACACACAAAAAAAAAATAGAAGAAAAAACTACAAACATTATGACCCAGGCGCAGCATTGACTTTGCCTGAAGCCCAATGCCTAATTTTTATTAGCGCCGACCCGACGACCCACCAGACCGCCAGCTTGTGGCCTGACCTTCGCTGCGGGAAAGGGTACGTGATTTGGTTGGCCACAAATCTGAGCGGCACATAACTCAAATCATTCGCATTTATTGATTTTATAACCGCAGCTGCAGGAAGTGCATTAGGCAGCTCAACAGCGTGTTTCGATCGCTGATAAATTTTTAATTGCTCCACTAAGCAATTAAATATAAATATAAGTATATTTAATCTTAGTTGCATATATATAATGAAACTATGCTTAAATATTGCAATTTAGATGGAACTATGGCGCCTGAAGTTAAGGCGAACAAAACGTTTTACCTTAGCTTGATAAATTAATAGATACAAATAAATATAGATAAAATTATATAAAAAAATTAATAGAGTTATATATAAAAATAAAAAATAAAGATATATTAAAAAATATATTAAAGTCTTGAATAATATATTACTTATATAGTAAAGTGTTAAAATATTTTAAAATATAAAAAACTATATATACAAATATTTAAAAATATATAAAAGTATTTAAACATATATCAAATTATAAAACATAAAAATATATAAAAATATATATAAAATTAGATTAAAATATTTAAAACTGAAAATATATAAAAATAATCAAAAATATATAAAAGTAAGGTATAAGGTATAACAACTAATAATATAATAGTTGTTAAAAGTAAACTAAAGTAGCCTGAATAAATGTTATCCATGAAGCAAATGTTGCCCAATTTGGATGGCTTCAAGCCGCTGCCTACTTGAGCTTATAGAACATATATCTAACTATCTATAAAAAGAGTTAAGAGTTCAAACCTTAAGCAAAGCTAAATTGAAAACGATTGAAAGAAAAGAAAACTTTTCGAAAGGTCAATTAAATTTTGAAAAATTTATGCCTGCACTGAGTAGAGCAATGTTGAGAGAAAACAATTCAAGTTCATGTTGTGCAGTGTAATGTGTACAAAGTTTTGAACACGTATTTAAATATTCAGTAAACGGGCAGAGCTGAGGCGTGGTGCATTGTTGTATTGGCCAAGCCGAAGGCCGAAGCGTTCACAATTATTTAAATGACTTTGATGTCAAAGGCGATGCGAAAGCGAAAAACAATATTGAAATATGCCAACTTTACTCAATTGATTTAATCAAGTAAATTAGTTTTTAGTTTGCTTCGGATTTCGTATCATCAATAAACAAAGTGCGCAATCAATAAGCAATTATATGAACTATTCATAATCCATGGCCTGGCCCAAGTTGCCTTCACCTGAAGTTCGCTCTAATGAAGCTAATGTCCGGCGCAGTCAAGCCCAATCAGTAGCGTAATTATACGCCTTGCTATCCGATAAGATAATAATAAGTGCTTGGCACTTTGGTCAGCGCAAGCCGAGTGTGAGACTCCGAGCTTATCTTATCTCAGCTGTCGATTTAGTTGTATTGTATAATGTGGCATTAGAGACAATTATTTTTAGATTAGCTGCCGTGGCGCCCATATGTATGCTATAGTAAATTGCCAATGGTGAGATTTTCTGACAGACATACGACTGTGTGTGTGCGTGTGTGTGTGTTAAAAAAAGGCCAGTCCATTTATTGATTTTGTTAAGCGCTTAAATTGCTTCATTGGGGATTATCCGATTCGGCTGTGAGCAGCCACACACACACAGCTAAGCAAGTGTGTGTGTGTGTGTGTGTGTGTGTGTGTATAGCTATGCTTAGCCTTGCTTTGACACATTTGGCTTATGAATCGCGAGTCTGGGGCCGACTCCCGCTGGCTGGCTGCCTGCGACAACTGCAACCGCAAAACCCACCATTACATAAAGGCTCGGCCCTTGATCTTAATATAAATGCTCAGCTGCACAGATTTTTCGGCCTAACAGCAGCAGCAGCAGCAACAACAAGGCAAAGGAAATGAGAGAAAAAATAAATGCAATTTTATGTTTATGCACTTCGTTGCAGCTGCCACGGACACGGACACGGACACGGACACGGACATGAGACGCAGGACACGGGACAGCGTGGCACCGGCTGAGAAACCGCAATGCCTCCCTCTCAGCGAGTCCTTGACTTGTGATGCTGAAAATAGTTCACACACACACACACAGACACTCATTGTTTATGGATACACTATACGTGTTTGTATTGCGACACTTTTGAAGCCGCGTTATATTTGAGCTCGTTTCTTTTTGCATTTGTGTGAGCTTAACACGTGCAGCGTTGTAAAGCGCTTGACGGCTGCAAATGAAATTTAAGCCCCAGCTGCATCAGCTGGCTATAAATATATAATACATTGTTAAAATGTATGGCATAGGCTGAGCTCTAGCTACGCACTCGCCCAGCTGTAATTAGGTTCAAGGCGTCAGTCGCAGATGTGGCTTGCTTTAGGGTCCTTTAGGCCCAGGCGTTTGGTTAACTTAGGCGCAGCACGTAGCTGACGTGTATAAATAATAAAATAAATACCCAAATACGAATGCTTGTACATGCATATGCATGTGTGTGTGAAAATGAATGGAACCGCATTCTGCGGTCGATATGCCGCATTCGAGGTGTCCTTTGTGACTGCAAATTGCCCTGTCGTATGCATAAAACTACTTTTTGTTTGTTAAAATATGAAATTGAAACAAACGACTCTTAA